GCACTGTGTTATATCACTCAATACTTTAATGTGATTGTTCTGAAGTGAAAGGTGCTAATAAACATCATTATACTCATCTGTTTAAGCGGAGGCATTCCTGCTTGAGCTTTTATTAAAAAAAGTCTAGCCTAAAATTATTCATACCCCAGGCAAATTCTGCCTTAAAGTTCATTTTATTCAATCAGCAAGTGTTTTTTTTTATGACCGGAAATGACACAGGCTTCTCTCTAAAGATAATAAGACTATTTACAAGAAGCATCATTGTGGAAAAAATACTTCTCAGCTTTTATTTTCATTTGAACAAAAACTTTAAGTCCGAATTTGCCAGGAGTATAATTAATTTCGAGCTTCACTGTATGTTAAACACACAAAATACAACTCAAAATTCATCTGTCAGCTCCTTTTGTTGAGTATAATTATGTTTTAGACCTGTAAAACTGAATCATTTCACTTACTTAAGCCACTACATTCTATGATAACAATTTTTAACACTGTATCACTGCACACTATGGCACTCTTAATTCATATTGTAGAGTGTGCCTAAAGCAAACATTGTACTGTATATATACAGTAAGCCATGATAGATGATGGGATGTTGGATTATGCACATGAATAATGCACACCTGAGGTGCTGATGTGGCCATGAATGATGCCGCGGTCACATTACAGTTTGAGCATGCGAAATTCTATCGTACAGCGCTCCGACAAGGGGCGGGATTAAACAAGATGATTAGACGTTTAAAAAAAGATTGGTCCATATATTTAAAATTTTTGTACAGAGTGGTCATGTTTGGATCTTCGATTGGTCTCATGCAGTCACATGATGCGATATCGCAGGTCAGAGTTCACCAAGCTTGAACTTTGCAATGCAGCAACATGCAAAAACTTGTTGCATGAGCTTGCGTTTTCGGTTTGTCGCATTTGCTTACATAAAAATCAACCCAGGCTCATTCTGATAATGTACCACTACATACATTTCTGGAGAGTGCCAAATACATCCCAGGAGGTACGTTTTTTTGCAGTTTTTGTTTTCGCAAATCCACCAGAGGCTGCTGTGCTTTTTTAGATCTAAAATTTTTCTAGAGAATGCCATTCGTGCCTGTTGTTCTTAATTAAATCTACCAGAGGCCGCTGTCGACTGACTGATCAACTGATTCACCCCTCACCTGCCCCTAAACCCAACCAATAGTGTTTTCAAAAGCAACGACTGACCTGTCCACTTCCTTAAACCCATCCAACAGTTTTAAAAAGCAATCCAGAAAAAGAAAAGCCCTCGCCTGATTTCGATCACGTTTTCAGATTTTACCACATTCTCACCCTTTTATTTACTTGCTTATTAAATCTTTTGGCTTGTTTTTGTTTTACCCACTTTCTGGAACCGTTCTACACCGGACTTGAACCCTGTCGTCGTTGTCAACTCCTCTCTGCATCTCAAGTCTGCCTACGTTATTGGACAAACTGGTAACAGTGGGAAAGCCAGCCATACAGATGTAAGCGCTAATAAGGGCGAAAAGAAATGTCGATACCGCCCCGTAGCGTTCGTTTTAAGGACAACAAATGTAATTCACCAAAATGCAGTCATGGTCCTCTGGCTTGATAATTTACGATCTCCAGAAATGTAGGCCTACGTTTTCTGAATGAGCCTATGTTGGGATGAATGGAGGTCAATGGGGCGAAAGTGCAGTGTGACCACAGCTTAGAAGAGTAATTCTAATTCTTTTTCAAATATTTTTAAGTGATGTTCAGCAGAGCGAAGAATTAGTTTTAATGCTAACAATTAATAACTAGCTTAAAGTACAATTTAAAGATGTAACTAGGTTAATTATGTTAATTAATGAAGTCACTGCACAAAAATGGTTTGGTTCTATAGCCAAAAAAAAACAAAAAAAAAACAAAAACAAAAAAAAAGACTCTTAAGGGTGCTAATAATATTGATCTTAGCTTATCTTTTAAAATATATGTACTTTGTCAAGTAAAAAAAAAAAAAAAAAGAGTTTAATAATAGGGAAATATAATAGGAAATACTATGAAAAAGTAATAATAATAACAACTAATAATTTTGTCTTCAAACTAAATACAACTGTATGTATGTATGAATGTATGAATGTATGTATGTATGTATGTATGTATGTATGTATGTATGTATGTATGTATGTATGTATGCTAGTGAGTAATTATAGAGAATAAAGCCCCAGTAAAACTTTTTGGGTTTGGGAGAGCAGAGCTGCTTTTCTGTTTGGCTGGCTTTGCTGAATGGAGCCATTCACAAGCCTCTAACCGCATGCTTTCTTTATCTTCATTGTTATCCCCCTCTTCCCTTCACCCACCGCAGTATAATGGCAGGGGGAGCAGACTGAAGAATCGGGTGAAAGTGGAGAGTGGGGGAGGAACGGGGCAGAAAGACCCCAAACATGCCAAAGGGCCAAACTAAAAGCAGCCATCAGTCCTGGCTGACAGCTGACGATAGCAGAGGAATGCTTTTCAGGAGCCACTTAATTGATTGATTGATGGATTTACTAATTGGCCGACTAATGCAATGACTGATTAATTGACCTCATTTGACATATGATATGATATGACACAATGTTGACAAACAATAATAATGATGATGATGATATTAATATTTAAATAAACCACAAAATATGCTAAATGCATACCAGAAACGTTGTATTTGTATAAATAATTACTTAATAGAATAAACAAAGTCGTTGTGTTCTGGGTTTTGATTACTACATATTAATCATAAATATAAGTTAATTGCTGCTAAATTTAATAAGTTTCATGCTTTCAGAAACCTGGACATGTTTTATAATCACTAACAATTATTTTCCGCAAGTGTTTAGTTAAAAATTGGGGTAAAAATTGGGAATTTGAATGAATAAAATGAAATGAAATCCGGAAAGAGCACCACAGAAAAAATAAAAAAGGGAAAACATTCATTAAGATGCATTCATATGTATATCAATATAATAATTGATTGATGGATTTACTAATTGACTGAATAATGCAATGATTGAATAATTGACCTCATTTGACATGATATGACACAATGTTGACAAACAATAATAATGATGATGGAAATATTAATAATAATATTTAAATGAATCACAAATGATGATAAATGTGTTGCTAAAGATATCAAAAACATTGTTATTGTATAATTAATTATTTAAACAAGTGAAGTCTGTGTGTTCTGTGTTTCGTTTACAACATACATTTGTATTATTATTAAATATAAATAAATTGCTGCTTAATTGAATAAGTTTCATGCTTTCAGCTACCTGACATGCTTTTTGATTCCTAACAATTATTTTATGCAAATACTTTGTTGTTGTAAAAATTGGGCAGGAAATTGGGAGTTTAAAATGAAATGAATAAAATGAAATGGAATTTGGGAAAAGCACCACCGGTGCTAAAAAGGAAAAAAATAATTAAGAAACATTAAAACAGAAGGATATATATATATATATATATATATATATATATATATATATATATATATATATATATATATATATATATATATATATATATATATAAATAATTATTTGATAAACTGATATTTGGATGAATAAAAATGAAATGAAATTTGGGAAGAGTACCAGGGAAAAAATAAAAAGGGAAAAAATAATTAAGATACATTCATATGTGTCTAAATATAATAATTGATTAATGGATTTACTAATTGACTGAATAATTATACATATATATAATTATATATATATATATATGGCTGATTCCAGCGTTATGGATGTGACATTTGCTGTAAAAAATCAAAACATAAATTCGCAGAGAAAGTATACGTTAACATTATATTGAATCATCTGTTTATATTTTAACATTTTTATACTTTAAATGAGGAAAATAAACAAGCGTTATGGATGTGACAAAAAAAGTCTGCGAGTTTACAGTATACAACATATTTCGTAGAAATTCTGTGAATTAAACTACACAACCCAAAATAAATAATGCTCAACAAAAGGATAAGAGTTGGCTCTTTATAGAACAAAACTGATTGATTTTATTTTATTTTGACATTTTTGCATTTTTGAGGGAAAAGCTTTGTTATGGATGTGACACTTTTTCGTTATGGATGTGACGGATGTGAAATTGCCATTTGTTTGACTTTGGTAAATCAAATATAATAGTCTGAAAACATTGACAGAGACATTTTTAAGTATTTTTAAAGTACTGTAAAACACTTGCCTGCGCAAAAAATGTAGAAACGGTTTCGCTATTTTGGTGAAAACATTTTTCTTTTTATGGCAAGGTTGATATATATATATATATATATATATATATATATATATATATATATATATGAGCAATATCACACGAGTAGCAGTGCGATATGGCTGTATATCGGCACTGGTGGGAGGCGTGTGCTGTGTGCCTTAGTGCCCCCACCAGTGCCGATATACAGCCATATCGCACTGCTATGAATGTGATATTGCATTTATACAACAGTTTGACGGCATAATTATGTATATAAAAACTAAATCAAACATGGAGAGTCTCAAAAACCCTTTTGTATGAGGAACTACTTTCTTGCACATTGGATTGAAATCAAAAGCTGACAGTTAAACAGTTGAGCAAGCATCTTTTAAACTTTAGATCTGTAGTGTCTGCTTTTTGCTGGCTGTATGTGGGCGGAGTAATACACAAAGGGTAAAGAGGCTGTAGGAGTTCTGATATTGCAGAATATCGCACGGCTATCAGCCAATCAGATTTGAGAACCATATACATATACATATATATATATTTTTTTTATATATAATATTTATTTATTTTTTATTTTATATAATTATTTATTTATTAATATAATTTATAATGTATACAAACCAAATTCCTTTTTCGTACCCTTAAATTACACCACATTTACTCAAATGTATTTACCCAAATTTTTTTATGGTTTTCCAAATTCTCATTTTCCTCTTTCAATTTATCATCTGTACCAAAAACAAATTGCATTTTCAAATGTATTAAAGCAGAAACAATTATTCTGAACTATAATATTGTTGTATTTTAATCAAATAAACATGCTGATAAAGTTGTTTAAAAATCACAAACACAAATGTACAATTTCAATACACAAACATACAAAATATACAATTTGCCCATTTGTTTTGCACCACATACAACCATAACCTAAAACAGGTCTATAGGTTTTTATGAATTAAAATATTTGTTTTATTACACAATTTACAAATACAGTTTGATCGTAAAAGCACCACTATAATTAAAACAAATTGTGTGTAAACATTTATCAAGTAACCACAGTAATACACGTCCATTATTATTATGAGTAGTAGTATTAGTAATAACAGTAGTAGTCAGATGGAGCACTACAGGAGCTTTAACAGTAATGTATGAAGTCCTGTTCCAACAGCTCCACCTGCTGTTTCATTAATGCAGCACAGCCTGCGTTACATTGAAGATGTAATACTGTTGCATTTCTCCAATGACAGTTTGTGTAAAAACAAACACTGTTCCCCAAACGCGTAACAAAAGTGAATATATGTAACCCAAGGTCTCACTCCACAGCAGGCTGCAAGATGGTGAAAGTATAGAGTTAGATATACCGTTATGAAGCGCGTTATCCATTAAAAACATCTGTCCAATCACACTTTGGGAGGCTGATAGATTGATTGATTAGCAGTTTGTGCAGTTTTGTCCTCTTTGAATTCTGCTGAACTCCTGCAGGCGAGTGAACAGTGGTGGATACTTTAGATTCGATAAAACATTTAAGCTCCTTATGGGTTTTTACAACAATAGTGTCAGACAGGTATTGTAGTAGATAAAAATTACCTCTAGTATAGAGTTTTTTGAACCATACTATAGTAAAGTGTATTATATTGTCGTACAGCTCTTTGTTAATGAATGCTACAGGATCACACACTGTAAAATAGCTGTACATTAGCAATTTTCTGTAGTTTGTGATTTATTTTTTAATTTTTTTCTTTAGTTATTTATTCATGCTTTTTAATTCCATTGTATTCTTGTATTATATTAGGCTATATGCCGAAGCAAGCTAATAGGACTTTTAATTTGCCATAACCTGATTGTGAAGTGCTTCCGGTGAATTGTATGCCAATGCAAAAATCGGCGCGTTTAAGGTCAGTTTTCTTTAAAAATCATCGATCTCCACTGGCTGAGTGATATCCGATATAAAGTGGGTCTCAGATTGTACAAGAAGCACCGCATTAAATTACATTTTCCCCCGTCATATCTTTGTAATAAGAGCATTTATTTTACCCCGGTATATTCAATGGAGCTTCTGTGCTAGCCTGCCGATTCTGACGGGCGCATGCGAGTAAACGGCATTTTGTCTTGTTTTACGCTTGAGCAACTAAATGAATGCCAAAGTTTATTTAACTGAATGTATTTTAATTACATTACAACATTGATGCTGTAAAAGGAACCGTATAAATTTGAAAAAAATTCACAATAACAGGTCACCGCAAGTTAATCAGTATGGGAAAAACACTAGCTGGGCATATACCCTTGTGGTTATGTCTAGAAGGGATACAGCTGTGGATATTCACATCAATATAGCATAATTTTTGTGACACTGTACAACAATAATTAATCTTTTTACATTACTGTGAGGGGTAGGTTTAGGATTGGGTTAGTGTAGGCATTGATAAAATACAATTTAATGAGTAATTTAATAAATAGTATGAATAATAGAATGACTGTTTTTAAAATACTGTGATGGTTAGATTTAGGGTTAGGGTAGGGGTTGATGTTAATAAAATACAATTAACATTAAATTAACATTAGTTTTACTAATTTAGGTGGATTGAACATACAACAATTAAGTTGTCCCAAAAAAAAAAAATTGTGCTGTTTCAGCTTATTTTAATTTAATTAAGTAGTTTGAACAAACAGCAAACATAATTTTTTGAGTGAGGGTTGGGCACAGGTGTCAAAACGAATTCCTGGAGGGCCACAGCCCTGCACAGTTTAGTTGCAACCGGGATTAAACAAGATGATTAGACATTTAAAAGCGAGCGATTGCTCCATATTTGAAATTTTTGTCCAGAGAGGTCATGTTTTGATCCTCGATTGGTCTCAAGCAGTCAAGTGATGTGATTTCGCAGATCAGAGTTCACCAAGCTTAAATTCTGCAGCAACCTGCGAAACTTGACACATGACCCTGCGTTTTCGGTCTGACGCATTCGGGTACGTATGAATGGAAGTCTATGGAAGGTAAAGCCCAGTGTGACCGCAGCTTAACCTGTAGGTTTTAAACAAGCCTGAAGGACTCGATTAGTTTGATCAGGTGTGTTTAATTAGACTTGGAACTAAACTGTGCAGAGCTCCAGCCCTCTTGGAACTGGCTTTGACTCCTGTGGTGTATGAAAGTAGACATTAATAAAATACGATTAACAGGTAATTTAATAAATAATCTAAATATTTTAACTGTCGGGCGCAGCTGTATCCCTTCTATCAACAACATCATTTATTCATTCATTTTCCTTCCGCCTAGAATCTTTATTCATCAGGGGTCGTCACAGTGGAATGAATCGCCAACTTATCCAGCATATGTTTTACACAGCAGATGTCCTTCCAGCTGCAACCCAGTACTAGGAAACTTCTATTCACACATACACTACGGCCAATTTAGTTTATTCAATTAAACTATAGCGCATGACTTTGGACTGGGGGGAAACCGGTGCACGTGGAGAAAACCCATGGCAACACAGGGAAAACATGCAAACTCCACACAGAAACGGCAACTGGCCCAACCGGGACTCAAACCAGTGACCTTTATGCTGTGAAGTGATAGTGCTAACCATAGAGCTACCGTGTCGCAACAACATCATTTGTTTATATTACTATACTTGTGTTGTTACCATAGCAACTATTGAATTACTAAGACAGATTAATTCAAGTACTTTGATATAGAATGGTCCAAAAACTCTATAGAATTTACTACAAATTACTATAGTATTTTTTTATGTGGGCTAATAGGGAGACTGGGGTTAGTTGTCACAATCTATGGATAGTGTTTTTTGTTTGGTTTAGATTTTATTTATGTTATTGTTGCTCAAAACTAAACTACAAACTAAATAAAGTCACTTTAATATAAAAATAAATATCTGTCATTAATTCACAGTTTACTTTCATCTAATGTGGCAATGCCTCATCCACACAGGGCGTCAGTCGTCAAGCATTGCTAAACTTAATTGTGGGTCCTTTGGCACCTCTTCAGTGCAATTGCTCGCTGCAGAAGTTGGGAATTTCTCAACTTTTTCAAGCCAACGGACGCGTCAGATCGCTTTATGCAAACACCCCAGCTCAGAGAGTAGCCGAAAGTGGACTTATTTTATAGGCTGACACAGTTATGACAGCCTGATCTCACGAGAAAACGTAAGTATTTTACGTTTTGCCAGTTTAGTGGCTAATTCGTACGAATTTGTACGAGTTCAGTCGTACGAAATGGTACGATTTTAAAAAGGAGGCGTGGCACCTGACCCCACCTCTAACCCCAATCGTCATTGGGGGATAAGCAAATCATACTAAATTGTACGAATTAGCCGTGAGATTGTGTTGGTTATGATGATCGTGTCAGCCCCAATTTCAGACGCGCCATCCGTCAAGCCAAAGAGCTTACAATGACCAAGAGGTGACACTCAATAGAACGTTCCATTGCAACAGCAGTGCACAGCAACATCCCCACGATTCCACCATTTTAGAGTGAAAGCGATCGGCTGTCCACTGGATCTTATAGCTGTCGCGATAGCAAGCAGCTGCATTATTTTTTATTTATTTATTTAAAAAGCGCATTCAAGCTGAGATACAACCTCAAAGACGACAATACAACACTTACTATCACAATCATCAGCACTTTTAATAGTTTATTTTACAGACTTAAAGTATGCTGTTGGCGACGTGGAGGCGCAGTAGGTAGTGCTGTCGCATCACAGCAAGAAGGTCGCTGGTTTGAGCCGCGGCTGTGTCAGTTGTCGTTTCTGTGTGGAGTTTGCATTCGCATTCGTGTGGGTTTCCTCCGGGTGCTTCGGTTTCCCCTACAGTCCAAAGACATGCGGTGTAAATCAATTGCGTAGGCTAAATTGTCTGTAGTGTATATGTGTGAATGAGTGTGTATGGATGTTTCCCAGAGATGGGTTGCAGCTGGGGGGGCATCCACCGCGTAAAATAATGTGCTGGATAAGTTGTGGCGACCCCAGATTAATAAAGAAACTAAGCCGAAAAGAAAATGAATGAATGAATATTATGCTGTTGTTCTACTGGAATTTTCATTCCAAAATGGCCGCTGCGCCATCTAGTGGCTGTTTCCCAAATTGCACTAGAGTGTGGCCTCTTGGTCATTTTAAGCTCTTTGGTCAAGCGTTGACGCTGAAGCCTCATGTGAATCGGGCGTAATTTATCTGCAGTTTTGGGTGTAATTTGTTAGATTTGTTGTAATTAAATTATTTATTTGTCCTCTGAAAATTTTTTTATATTTTCTTTGCTTTACAATGTTATCTTTGTGGCTATACATTAGATTAGTTAGTACTAAAGCTAAATCTGGACCTAATCTAACACAATAACTTATGATAACGGTCCAAAAATTAGTAGCCCAATTTTGTTAGGGAAAAATAATAAATATAAATGATCTGCTAAACATCATTTATATTTAAAATGGATAAGTTTCATGGGAGGGCTAATAACTTTGCTTTTTACTGTTTATATATTTTTAAATTAATCAAAAATGTATTTGTTTAAATTTATTTTATTTATATTATTTATATATACTTTTTTTGTGAGCGATAAAACATAAATAGTAACATGAATAATAATCTAGTTAATATCTGTTATGCGTTTGGGCAATCACAGTGTAATGGCTTAGTTGTTTTTGTAGTCTGATCTCTACACAGACAACCAGCCCCAGCCTCTCTTATGTATGAGGAAATGATAAATCCATACCTTGGTTCTAGATTAGGGCAGGGATCTAAAAAAAACAAGAGAATGAAATGTCAGCAAACCTGTGTATAAGTGCATACGAGGAAAGTACTATTCATCTTCTTGAGACCCGGAAAAAGCCCCGCCCATTAGTTACAATCACTCTCTCATTAGCATAGGAAGTAAGTCTTGTTTTTGAATCTGCCACTATGCTGACACACAGGCCTTTATAGCTCCGCCCTCTTTTGAAAAAATCTCATTTGAATTTAAAGTGACAGTCACCAAAATGGCACAATTAGGATCAAAGGCTAAAAGGGGCAGTTTCAAAGAGATTTAAAGCATTAGGGACATCATCATTTTTAACTCTAGGGACATCAGATACTTATTTTATCTTGTTAAAAAAAGTGCATAACAGGTCCCCTTTAAGACTTAATTAATAAATGGCCTGTATGATCTCAGATCTTGTAATATAATGTTCTCTACAGTGGACAAAAGTCTATTCCTGAGTCCCAGGAGGTTATTCAGTGTGTACAGTGTTTTGTTTATTCAGGGACATTTTGAGGCCCTGTGTAAGGTCATATAAACATAAGCCTCGCTCATGTGTGTGTTTTTTTTTTGACAGTGCAGCTTCTGAAATAAAACATTTGTACAGTAAAGCTTACCAATATCTGTTGGGGTGATAACAGCCTCCTCGGAGAAGCCCAGAGATAAAGCAAAAGACCTGAATTTGTCGATTAAATCTGGCCTTAGTGTGGAGGAGCGTCCTGAAAGCAAATGAATACACTTCATTAATGTGTCAAAACTTTTTCATTGGCATCATCAGTGCAGACTCACCATAAAGAGCTACTTGAGTGTATTCCTTGTTCATGGTCTTGTATTTTAGGACCAAACTATAGTCAGTGTAATTTGTCTCCACAATTGTGACGTCTTTTGTAATCTGGTTCCCTGAAAAATGACAATAATTGGGGGTTATTAAAGCTGCTTTTTTTTAACTGTTAAAGTTTTAACTGTTAAGCACTTGACAAAGTATATGATGTTTGTACATATAAATGAAGTTGAAATTGGCATATTTTGAAAGTATTAAATTCGTGTTTCTCTGGATTTGCCAATAATGTGTATTTTGAGTAACATTCATTGTGTTTATTATTATTATTATTATCAAATAAAAAACGTCAAATAAGAAAATAATTATTTAGAGTATATATATATATATATATAAATATATACATACATACATACATATATACATATATATATATATATATATATATATATATATATATATATACATACATACATACATACATACATACATATATATATATATATATATATATATACATACATACATACATATATATATATACACACACACACAAACACACACACACACACACACACACACACACACACACACACACACACACACACTAATGAGCCCAAAGTGTGCCAAGAAATATCCCGCACACCATCCATGCTTTCATGGTGTTGATGCCAAATTCTGACCCTATTATCCACATGTCGCAGCAGAAATCCGAGACTCATCAGATCAGGAAACGCTTTTCCAATCTTTTATTGTCCAATCTGGTGAGCCTGTGCGAATTGCAGTCTCAGTTTCCAGTTCTTAGCTGACAGGAGTGGCTGTAACGAGTGCTTATTTGAGTAACTCTTGCCTTTCTATCAGCTTGAACCAGTCTGGCCATTCTCCTCTAACCTCTGGTATCCACAAGGCATTTGTGCCCACAGAACCGCCGCTTACTGGATATTTGCTCTTTTTCGGACCATTCTCTGTAAACCCTAGAGATGGTTGTGTGTGAAAATCCCAGTAGATCAACAGTTTCTGAAATACCCGCCCATCTGGCACCAACAACCATGTCACTTAAATCACTTAAGTCAATAAAAATAAAAAAGTCACTTAAATAAAAAAGTCACTTAAATCACTTAAGTCACTTAAATATATATATATATATATATATATATATATATATATATATATATATAGACACACTCACACGTTTGTTTTTGTGAAAAGTGGGGACATTACATAGGTTTCCATTCATTTTATACTGTCCAAACCGTATATTATATTGCCCTCACCCCACCCCACCCCTTAACCCAACCATCACAGGAGACTGTGTGCAGCTTTACTCTCTGATTAAACTCAGCCTGTGGGAATCATAAGCTTTTTGAGAAACAAGGACGTCACCAATGTCCTCATATTTCACCTTCTTTTTGTAATACCTGTGTCATAACCATGTCATTATATAGATTTGTGTCCTGATATGTCACAAACACACACACACACACACACACACACACACACACACACACACACACACACACACACACACACACTATATTTAAGTTCTAAAAATATGGAATCATTTTATTTCGATTTATTTTTATTTTCTGTGAATAATTTTTCTAATAATTAGATATTATAAGGCTACATTGTCAGTATTTTTTTTAAATAGATATAAAACACTAATCAACATTTTGCTCTAAAGATGTACATATTAATGACAAATCATGAAAACTAATTGGAACTTTGAAGAGGATAAGTTTTTTTTTTTTTTAATAAAGTTTTAAAACATTTTTCTGGACCTATATACAGAAAAAGTCCAAGATCTAAGTTAATATTATATAAATATTTTTAATATGGCTAAATTGTATTTATACATATATTGATTTATACCAACAAATATGTTAAATTACATAAAACTATTTTAAGTTACCTGATAGGTTACTGATGAATGATATTCTGTTCTTTTTTGCACTAAATTCTATGTAAGACAAAGTGGTTTATTATTTATAATTCACTATTATTTGTCTGTTAGATATGATGAAGGTGTGCGATTGATTTAAATGTACTTGAAATTATCTGAGGCTTTTCTGAGTAAACGATGACATTATGCAACAAGTAACCCATTTAGATCTTTGAGAGAGGAAACGAGAGCTTACTTTTGCTGAAGTAAGTGAATTCTCCAGGAACATCTGTCTTCTCATATGAATACACACTGATGGAGCATCCATACGGCCTGTTAGTTCACATATACAGATCATTAGCATAGAGCTGAAATATTTACATTACACAACATTGTTATTGGATACAATTTTCAATCACCTCATAGTCCACATAGTCAGATTGACATTTCCACTGGTATCCGGGACCAGAAGACCTTTAGAAACCTTCAGATGACTTTTGAACATTGCGAAAAATTGTGATTCATCTGCAAGCCCAAGCCGATACCATTCACCTGCAAACTGACAGCAAAAGTAAGTAAAGATGGTTTACACTTTATTTAGTGTTCTGCTGTTCATACTGTAACATACTGTACTGTAGAAATGAGTTGTATTACTATTATTATAGCCTAGTTTTTATGTTGGATTGACTAATACAAGACTTCTACAATGTTGTAAATTTTAAAACTGCAATTTGCTAAATGAGTATTCCAAAGTTATCCAGGTGGTTTACTCTTTCCGTGTTGGATGTGAATTCGATTACAACAATCACAGGCCAAAATATATATAGAAATATATTCATTTTCCTTAGGCTTAGTTCCTTTATTCATCAGCGGTCGCCACCGCGGAATGAACCACCAACTCATTCAGCATATGTTTTACACAGCAGATGCCCTAACAATACTGGGAAACTCATTCACACACATACGCTTTGGCCAATTTAGATTATTCAATTCACCTATAGCGCATGCTTTTGCCTGTGGGGAAAACCGGAGCACCCGGAGGATACCCACGCCAACAGGGGGAGAAGATGCAAACTCCTCACAGAAATGCCAACTGGGACAGCCAGGACTCGAACCAGTGACCTTCTTACTGTGGGGCGACAGTGCTAACCACTAAATCACCGTGTCTATATCACCTATAAATACAAAAATATAATTTATAATCACCTATAAAAATAAATAAAAGATTAAAAAACAAAATGGCGGATCGTCGGATACGCAACACCTCACCAACAGTTAATTTGTGGATTGATTTACAATGAACCTTGAATCTTACCTGATAAAGAACGTAGGCTATTAAATGTTATATATCCGTTTTATTTTATCTGCAACCCGATTGTGAAGTTTTATAAAGATACCTTTGGTTATTAACATAAGGAGATTTTCTGCATGAAGACCCGCGAACTTCTCTAATGTTGAGGATGTGAATAGTTGATTGACAGGTTGTGTATCTAAGCAACGGAAGGACTCGTCAATGAGGAAGTAGTTTGTCCCAAACAAAGCTCGTCTCCTCTTCACACACTCGAAACTTATTTTTCTTTCACAAAAAGAGAACATTTACTTAGAGCCTAGAAATAGCGAATTTCTATTGCTTCTTTATTTATCTTCTGAGAAAAAATTGAACATTTTTGAAACTACAGCAAGCCGCCATTTGACTCAGCCTTAGACTCAACACAGATCATTTAGCCCACACTGGAAAACAATGAGTCTTAAAACAGATAATGTCCAAAAACAGCAGCAAATTTTGCATATAACTATGTGTGGGTGGACCATGTTAAAGATAAATAGACATTCACTAGTTAAACATAAGAACTAGCCTAGGACATGCTAGCAACATGTTAAACCATAGTAATACAGTAAAATGTTTTGATTAGTATTAGTAATAATGATCCTGACGAGTGGTAGAGAAAAAAAAAAAACTGTAAATCTTTACAGTTGATAAAATTATTTACTAACTATTTTGGTTCAAATTAAGTAAAATGACAAATACTTTGCTGATGTTAGCCTTCAACATTTACTAATACATTTGAAATGGCTATATAAGTAGTACACACGTTATGAATACTTTTCGCATTTGATTTTCCCTTTTGTGTAAATGAATGTAAATTTACTGCATTTTGTGACTGCAGTTCTGCCTCTTTACTGTTTGTTTTTAAATATGAACACTTTAACAATAAACATTGAGATTTCTTTGAAAAGTCTCTTCTATAACTAAATTTTAAGCTCAAATTTGGACTACTGAAAATGTACTCACTTTTTCCAGGTCAAAGTTGGGCTGAGGTCCAATTGGATCCGGTGTGTTGAAACTGTGCGTTCCTAAAAACAGGCCAAACAAAAGGGCTAATGCTAAAGTCATGATGAACGCTTAAACAACTCTGTTTGGAGAAGCGAAGAACACAAAACCACTGACATAGTGAAGCGGTGGGGAAACTCCAGGGTTTATATTTGCCAAAAATGAGGGAATGTTTGTGAATGACTAGAGCCCGGCCTCTCACACACAAAGCGTTCTGTTCACTGCAGACTTTTCAAACAGCAGGTTGGAGTAATGTTAGAGAATCTGACCAAATACATCAATACACAAAGAAGATCTATTGGTTTCTTTTACCTTGAAACCATTAAAAATCCTCAAATTTTAGCAGTACATTTGACTTTTTTTGTTTTGGAAAATATTCCTGTAGGATTTACTGGTTTACTAAACCACAAATAAAAGGCAAGAAATTACCAATAGAGACCCAAAGGAGCATTAGAATTTCCATTTAAATAAATATATTTCCCATTTAAACCATTACAAAATTAATTTATGTGTTGGTTTCTATTGTTTTCATTAATTACAGACAAAAACAGGTAAACATTACACTTGTTGAAACATTCTGCTTGAAATGTTCCTCTATGGGACAGATTGTGGGTGTAAGACGACCCTGGACTTTGCTCTGGCCAAACGCAAACGTTACAACACCTCTACAAAAATCACTATTGCTCTAGTTTTCAAGATTTGAGTTGCCACTGGGCCTCAAATTATTATTAATGTCATGCATAATTTACTACTATATTTTTATTATTTCTCCTACTATTACACATGGGTCTAAAATATTCAGGACAATTTTGTTGAAAGATTTTGATCCACTTCAAATGTTGACTACACAGGAGCACAACTACACATTTCCTGAGGGGTATGCAGGTTCAAGTTTTGCGCCATCCCCCCCAACCCCCTACACCAATCCAACTATATTTTATAACAGGCAAGTGATAGCACCAACATATTTCCATCAATCCATTAAAAATATTTTTTACTCATCAACATGTGTTCAACTTTAAACCAAAACTTTTCACAGTACTGAACGCAACTGAAATAGTATGCAGTAGTAAAAGTATAACTCCACTGAATAGATTATGTAACAAAGAATTACAATTGTATATATATATATATATATATATATATATACACACACATATATATATATATATACATACACATATATATATATATATATATATATATATACATACATACACACACACACACACACACACACACACACATATATACACACACACACACATATATATATACATATATATATATATATATATATATATATATATATATATATATATATATATATATATATATATACACACACACATTTGAAGTGAGAATTATTAGCCCCCCTGTTTATTTTTTTCCCTCAATTTCTGTTTAATGAAGAGCAGATTTTTTTCTGTACATTTCTAAACATAATAGTTTTAATAACTCATTATTACAATACATGTATTTTTTGAAATTTGTTTTGTGTATATTTGTAATGTGGCAACAAACCCATGTGGCCTGCTTTATATATAGTTGAAGTCAGAATTATTAGCCCCCTGAATTATTATTGATTTTCCCCCATTTTCTGTTTAACGGAGAGAAACATTTTCAACACATTTCTAAACATGATAGTTCTAATAACTCATTTCTAATAACTGATTTATTCTATATTTGTCATGATGACAGTAAATAATATTTGACTAGATATTTTTCAAGACACTTCTATACAGCTTAAAGAGACATTTAAAGGCTTAACTAGGTTAACAGGTTAACTAGGCAGGTTAGAGTAATCATGCAAGTCATTGTATAACGATAGTTAGTTCTGTAAACAATCAAAAAATATATAGCTTAAAGGGGCTAATAATTTTGTCCTCAAAATGGCTTTTAAAAAAATAAAAAACTGCGTTTATTCTAGCCAAAATAAAACAAATAAGACTTTCTCCAGAAGAAAAAATATTATTAGACATACTGTCAAAATTTTCTTGCTAAAAAAATATTTAAAAAGAAAAACTAATTCAAAGGGGGGCTAATAATTCTGACTTTAACTGTATATATAGAGAGTCTTCCCACCTTTCTGTCTCAATCACATGCTGTAGCACATCAGACATTTTCCTCTGTTTGTATAATTTGCAGATTATGACATATGCCACACATTCAAACAACATGCAGCACTTTGTATTGAAGAGAACTTTAAATGAAGCTATAACCAATAACTTAAGAACAGCATCATTTTATTAGGAAGAAACAGTCGATTGACAAATATTTACAAGGTTGGCTTTGTTCATTTTAACTGTGCTCTTTAGAATATCCGACAAACAATTTCACTGAATTCACTTTTATTGCAATAAAAAAAACAGAATATCATGTTTTTGGCATTTTAATGGTTCAACTTTTAATCAATACAAAATCATAGATATACACTAGATATCGAATATGGACCCTGAGCTTGTGTAACTAGCGCCGCCACATTTGTACAGTGCTCCCAGGACAAATGTCATTAGACTTGTGGTCAACCACAAAGCCAATGTGAAGATGCTGGTCTTCACCACAGTGTACGGGTGTAGTAACGAGCAAACAAAAAAAAAAAAGAAAGCATAAAGGCAGAACATTTCATAGGTAAGATTTCGTTTTTTTACGTTTTTGTATGTTACGAACGTTTGTGCTAAACAGGTATTGATAGAACAGTCTCTTACTGCACTGACCATAAGGCAACATAGCACCAACTCACACTAAACACTCGGCTTATGCTAGTTTTGTTGAATAAAATAAGCAAACAATGTAGATGAAATATGACAAGATGCTGCGGTGCTAGAAACCATTAATGTCAGCTAAGTGAATGAGTCGTTCAATGGCTCCTTCCGTTAGCATTAGAAGTGAAAGCAGGAGAGGGGCTGTGTTTCAGGACACGGATAAGATCAAATTTAACAGCGAGGGAGGATAATACATTTTCATCCACACAAACACAGACTCTTTAACAGCAATGCCCGTGCGGTCACTTATCATCGATATAAAAAAGTGATGTAAAATAATAATTTTCGTAATTTAAAAAAATATATTTGCATACTGACTAGTGGGAAAACTCCTGATCATAGATCTATGTGTATATCTCTGGCTCTGGATGGCCAGTCCTCCACTGCACCTTGGTCCCACATTAATTTCAAAGGAGTGCTACCCTGTACTAAAATGGCAGCTCTATTGACACATTCCTTTCGATAGACAACAATAGCATAGCCAACATCTAATGTAAATATCTATGATACAAAACAATGCATCATATAGTAATGATTCAATCACAATTTAAGGTAATGCATTCACTTTTGACAGTCTAATTTTGCCCTTAATAGAGAACCCAGTATAGAACTGTACAGTTACCATGCACAGTTACTGAATTAGTATTAATATGGCAACTTTTTCATAGGTCAGAAAATGTTTTCAGTAACCACAGGAGTTGAATGAATGCATATTTTACAACATTATACCCTAGCAGTGGTTCTCAAACTGTGGTAGTGGTTCGCTGGCTTCCTTTTAGTGGTACGCGGAGGAATCAAATATGACATATACATGTTACATATATTTAAAAATTTAGCAAAAATGTTTATATACAAATATGATGACATATCGCCTATATTTCCAGTTGTTGATAAATAGGCTACTATGTTAATACTTTACAGGATTTTTTTTTGTACTTTTTAAGAACAGTAACCTATCTTTTTTACTTTTAAAAGCACCTCTTAATTTAATTGTTGACATTTTTAGTTGTTTTTTTTTTACATGCAAGCACAGTGCAAGATTACTGTTAAAACTATTTATTATGTTTAAAGTGGTTGACAATAATTTTCTTTCTTTCTTTTTTTTTTTTACTTTTTATTTAAGATTTTTCAATATATTTTTTTTACAGAACAACCCTTCCCCAACAGTTTTACCCCTTACACACGAGGGGATACATAAAATAAAATAAAAAATAATAATGATAAAATAAAGATGATCAATTAAAAAAATAATAAATAAAAATGAAAGATATTGCCATCATAATTACTTCACAGGGGATACATTTGTACATCAAGTTAGATTGTGTTGCATTGTAGTTACATCAAATTACAGTGATGATAGGTTAAGAAACCTCTAAATATACATATCTAAATGTCATAATACTTTTCCACCTCTACAGAAAAATATCAGTCAATTCTTGAATCTTAGGACAGTCCCAAAAAATGTGGGTATGATCTCCAATTTTACCACATTTTCTCCAACACAAAGCTACAGATGGTCCTTTTACATATGTAGATATTACAAAAGGAGTATTAACGTACCTTATTTTTACAATCCAATCAAAGACAATAATTTTCTGATCAATAGGAATTAATCAGCCTCGTTTTTGAACTGAACAAAGCTGTGGCTGCTTTACTAGGTCTACTACTCTACTGTATTTCAATACTGCTCATTATGGTGGTACTTGGAGAGACAATTTGTTTTCTGAGGTGGTACTTGGTGAAAAAAAGTTTGAGAACCACTGGCTAATAGGGTTTGAAAATCTCAGCTTGACAATATTTAAAATCTATCATTGGAAGCAGAGAATGATGAAGTTGAAAAACCGATGGAAATAAAGCTTATAAAAACTTGACAAATGAGTAGCTGTTTGTGTATTTATATTCATATGACCTGCAAACAAGTTAAAATGAGGCACTAATTTATGACGTTTGTGTACCAAAAGTAACAATGTGTTTAAAAGTAATGTTAAAAACTCTTAATTTAAAGATAAATCACATTAAGATGACAGAAAAAGTAGACAAAATATAGATATTTTCTCTGTAAACAATTGCAATATTCTAAAACATTACAAGATTCTTCAAGATGTCGAAGATGTTTTGTTCAATATTTTGGTTATGGCGCTGAGGGAAAAGAGTCATCTAGCGCATGCGAGTCCCTTTAAAACCAGCTTGAATCTCCTCCAGAGTTTTGCCTTTGGTCTCGGGGACAAAGAAAGCCGTGAAGACGACATTAGAAGCACACAGTGCCGAGAACATCCAAAATGTTCCTGCGCTGCTCAGAGCATCCTGAAACACATGTTATTTACATCTATAAGACCACAGATGAATTCCAGAAAGCAAGTTTAATGATGTACCATGACTCTGAAAAGCAACTATATGACATCTCTAGCAAACAGCCAATCATGTGCTTTAATGCTTCTTATAATAAAGCTTTCTGTTTATCTAACCAAGCTGCTATCTCGCTACAATCCAAGCCGTTCTTTGGATTGATCTTAAAACTCAGGGCTTTTGGTAGTACTCAGAATAGCAAAGTCCACTAAAGGAGATCAAGCGTTCTCATATATGGCTGCTAAACTTCCAGATAATGTCAGAGGCTCAGACACACTCTCTCAGTTTAAATCTTTTTAGTAAGATACACACAATGCATCACATAACGGTATGATGCATGAGTGTGCTCCACAAAGCTGAGTGGGCTTGACAAACCACCCGTAGGACAGATTCTTCATGTCTTACTACACCAGGCCCTTTGTTAGAAATACTTCTATGTTTTATTTATTTATTTCCGGACATTTAATATGTCTTGTTCAAATACATTATGTTGAACAAGTATGTTTTCTTATTGGTCCCCATTTTATATTAAGTGGCTTTAACTAATATGTACATACACAGGAATTAATAGTTTGTTACAATGTACTTATTGTGTAAATACATGCATTTACTGTGTATTTATGCTAGATTAAATACATGTATGTAATTACATCTGTAATTAACTTTTGTTATTACATTTGTAAATACACTGTTGACCACCCTTCACACCATAACCCACCCTTAAACCTACCCATGCCACCAAACCTGTCCATAACCCAACCTCTATCCCAACTCAAAAGCACCACAAGTGTTCTCAAATACATGAAACGCACAGTAAGTACATTGTATTTATTTTTTTGATAGTAATTAATATACACTTAATATAAAGTGGGACCTATTATTGTGTAGATTACACCATTAGAGTATGTTTTACTTTTGAAATGGTGTATAAATTGATCACATTTGGCATTTCAAATTCTTTTGAACATAATTAGTTGCTGCTTGTCAATCGGAAAATTTACGCTTCAAAACCCGCCAATGCCATTTTTTACACACATAATAAAAGTCACTACCACTTAAATCTGGCAACACTGGCAACATTTTTGTAAATACGTTATATTTTTTCATGTGACAACACTGGAGAAATTATGCTGATACAACCAGTGTCAGAAAGAGTACTGAAAAATCATACTTAAGTAAGGCTGCATTTACACTGCAGATCTTGATGGTTAATTCCGATTTTGTGACTATCCGATTTTATTGCTGACCTACTAACATCATCTTTTAAAAGTGACTCGTATCCGATTGTCTGCATTTACACAGCGCATGGCAAAGACGCAATGACCAGGAAAAAAAAAAAAGAGCGGGCATTGACTAACAGCTGATAATTAAAGAGCGCTCTTTTCTATATTCCTGTATGTAATCTGTTTGCAGCTTTTGACAAGCTGTTTTACTATAGTTTATGACAGAAAGGTTCTCATTTGTCCGTCTTCTTTTGATATATAGGCATTTGAAAACCTTTAGGCATCTTAATGTAATGTCCATGGCGTGATTTATGCACTAGTTTTATATTAGTTACGTGGCGGACACTGTATTCTCTTGCTCTCGTTAACATGCTTAAATACCTGTGCTATATGACAATATAAAAGCTGTTTAAGTCCTCGTGTTTATGAGATTTAAGGTTTGGGTGCTGCTGAAGTCTGTTCTGAACTGAAAGTGTCAGACTTAACGTCATTCGCTACGGTTTTTAATGACACGCGACTCGCATTGAAAATCCAATCTACTGTACCTGCTTACACTGCAGACACGAGAACACAGATCCGATTCATATTGGATAAATTTCCACATATGAACAAGGCCTGAATCTGACTTGAGTAAATCGAAATCCATGTGATTTGTTCCTGCTTACACGTACATGGGCCATATGCGATCTGTGCCACATGGGAGAAAAAAAAAAAATCGGAATTGAGTCACTTGAACAGCGCAATGTAAATGCGGCCAAAAAGTACCATTACTTGCCTAAAAATGTAGTGCACGTAGAGTAAAGTGTCTGTTATAAATATTACTCAAAATATGAGTAAAAAGTAGCCCTTTTAAAAGTACTAAAGTGTAGTGAGTATTATGCTGTAAAAAGCTGATGCAGTAACATGTAATTTGTGGATGTGTGTAAACGAAACATTCTGTAGTGCGTTTAGGTATTGCTCATCAGGCACACAACATCAGAAGACGTTAACATTAGGTTAGATTTAGGTGGTGATGTCAGGTGACCCAAACTCAACATCTAGCCAGGGTCAAGGATAATGTTATTTTGACGTTGAATACCGATATTTGGTTGATTTAAGGTTGTGTTTAAAAGTGACCAAATCCAATGCTGAGCCAACATCTTAAACCAACGTCATATTGACCTTAAATACTGACATTTATTTGTCAGGTATGGCAACCAAAATCCAACATCTGATAGACGTCAAAGTGAAAAAGTCCACACAACGTCAAGCTGTAACATCATTAGACGTTGATATTTGGTCGATTTTAGGGTGGATGTTGGACAATGACGTCAGCCTAAAGTGCTGACGTCAACGCGATTTTCATTTCAGTACAAATTGCTACGTCTCCAGGACGTTGTCAATCTAACGTCATGTTGACATTTTGTGCCTGCTGGGCCATTTCGGGTTATCATACAGTAAACATCCGTCATCTTCTCATCAGTGACATGCATCTAAACAGTCTCTGGGTCAATGCTTGACGACTTTGAACATCTTCTTGGACACTTTTAACGCTTCCAAACAGTTTGCTGCAATTATAAAGCCCTCATGTCTTGGACAGGAATCAAAGGACTGATTTTTCTAATCCCCATAGAGAGAAAAAATAAAGTTTGAAGGAAAGTTGAAGGAAAGTACAGCAGTAAAAGTACCGATACAGCACTAAAAATATACTTAAAGAAAATAAAAGTACACATTTTTAAAACAATTTGTGAGAAAAACTACTCACTTACAGTAATTTGAGTATTTTTAAATTGTTACTTTACACCACTGGCTACAACACAGATTAGCGAGCGTACAACTTGTAGTTTTTTTTCGTACATGTTTACAATGTAGTGTCCTTTAATTTGGAGCAAGAGAAACTGGTGGCTTTAATGTGTCACTTGGCTCACAGCTGATTGGTTTGTGATCTCTAAACTAGAATATAATCTGCCCCTAGAGCAGGTTAGCCACAGGGTTTATGGCAGAAAAGTTAGCTTCATGGTACAGGCCCATGTTTATTACATCTAGAATGGTAAAGTCTGATTGAACCGGAAGTTGCTGACATTTTTACTTCAGTATGTTGATGTACTTCCAACTGAAATCGAATGTTGAGTAGAGGGCGGGGTTTTCTTTTTGCACATCATTCCCTCATAGCAAACTGATAGTAGTGGTAAGATGGGCGTGGCTAGAAATATTTTGGCTGACGCAGTCAAACTGACATCAACAGAGGAGGATTGCAAAGGGTTAGAATTTGACAGAGGATTACTAAAATATATTTTTTTTATTTTGGATTAATTTGTAATCAAAATAGATTAAATAATAATTAGTTCTTCAAAAGAATAACATTAAGATGACAGCAAAATATTCGGTGGCAGTAGTCTAATGGTTAAGTGCGCCGACATATAGCACCATGGTGCTCACGGCGACCCGAGTTCGATTCCCGACTCGATGTCCTATGCCGACCCTTCCCCTCTCTCTGGTCCTAATACTTTCCTGTCTGTCCTCCACTATTCTATCCCAATAAAAGATGAAAAAACCCTTAAAAAAAAAAAAGATGACAGCAAAATAAACTTATGTTAAATATAAAGTCAGCTTACCATGAGGTTCTGGAAGGTTTTGGTGACAATGAAGGCACAGGTCCAGTTAGTAAGCACACACAGAGCACTGCCTAATCCCCTCACCCGCGTGGGGAAGATCTCGGACATCACCAGCCACGGAGTAGGACCCCAACCAATAGCAAATCCTGGTAAACACATGCTTATGAGTCAGAATAAATGCAGTTTGCTCACTGAATGGATATTAATGTACATAAGTACAGAACAAATTCAAGATGTAAACTGTTTTAAGAATTTTTTCTTTGAAAAGACATACAGTAGTACTGCTAAATAATTCTTGTTCAGAGAAATACAGTCCTTCTAACCTGCAATGAAAAAGCCCATGCTTCCCACAGCCAACCAGGCCAGGTCTGCAGAGGGCTGATCTTCCAGAAGACCATGGGTGTCCGTTAGCACACTGGTCAATGAGGAGTTATTGGGCTTCATCACAGTCAGCTTAAAGTACACTCCAAACACTGCTTCGCTAATACACATGACGACACCTTGAGGACACAAAATGACAGATTATCAATTTCAATTCTTCAAATAAAAGTGGTGCAAATGCATTATGACTTTAAGAGGTTTCTACCAGACAAAATGAGAAGAACTTTCCGCCCGGCCTTGTCCATTATAAGAGCAGCAATTGCAGTGAAGACCACCTGTGTGGCTGCGACAATAACAGTGGCCACATCACTGCTCTGCGGCAAAAAAATACAGACACAGGTATTTATTATTAAACCTGTCAGACCTGTTTCAAGTGTGTTTCAAGCACATTTTCCCTGTTCTTAAAGGGATGGTTCATCCAATTATGACAATTTACTCACCTTCAAGTGATTTCCAACCTTTATTACATTCTTTCTTCAATTAAACACAGATTAAGATATTTTAAAGAAAGCTGCAAACTTGTAATCACTGACTTTTTATAGTAGGAAAAACAAATACTATGGAAGTCAGTGGTTACAGGTTTCCAGCTTACTTCAAACTATCTTTGTGTTCAACAAGGGAGAGAAAGTCATAAAGCTTTTAAAACAAGTGAAAACAAATACTAAGGAAGTCGATGGTTTCCAGCTGATCTATCTTATTTTGTGTTCGACAGGGGAAAGAAAGTCATAAAGGTTTGAAACAGGTGAAGGGCGAGTAAATGAGGATGGAATTTTCAATTTTGGGTGAACTATCTTTTTAAGGCTTACATAAACGAGTTCAAATAATAATGTCAATCTTTAATTGATTTTTTTTGGTCCATTTTAACGGACATTAGACCAAAACAATCAGTACTTCAAGAACAATGTACTAATGTGAAATGAAAAATAAAATAATACAAATTGTTGATCTTTACTCAAAGTTTCTTTTGAAGTTTACAAACCTGAACAATTTTCAAGCTTTTGTTTTATAGACTGCATACTGGAAAACACTGTACATTATAATGGAGAGGCTTTTAAAGGGGTTTTTCACCCACAAATGAAAACTCTGTAATCATTTACACATCCTTTAACTATTTCAAACCTTAATGAGTTTCTTTCTTTTGTTACACACAAAAGAAAATTTATGAAGAAAGCTGGAAACCTGTAACCATTGACTCACACATGGAATTTCCTATGGAAGTCAATGATTACAGATTTTCAGCTTTCTTCAAAATATCTTCTTTTGTTTTTAACTGAAAAAAAGAAACTCATAAAGATTTTGAACCATTTGAGAGAGATTAAATAATGAGCAAAATTAAAAATTTTGGGGTGAACTATGAACCCACTGTACATAATGGACAGACATATATCTATATATTTTTAAAAACTCCTGATTTAAAGCTGGCAATTCTACAGTAGATTTTAAAAAATCTTTCTTTTTTTTGGTAGAGAAGACATGCTTAATGCTTTGTTTAACAAATATCTTAAAAGGAAATAAAGATTGGTTGTCAGGGCTAGTAGATAATGGAAATCAACAGGAAGCGTTGAAAAGTGCAGCCATTCAGCAGTTCCACATAACTGATCAATTTTTTTACTTTAATTATTAAATGCGATCCTTATATTTTCTATACAATCTATGAAATATAAAAAAATATACCAATACATGTGAATAAAACCATTGCAAACATTGCTTAATGTTTTTTCTGTGGTTTAATTAGATGACAAAAGTCCAATATCATAGACAGCAGGCTTTAAATTTGGTGAAATCTCCCAGAACCCCCAAAAAACAAACATGACCTGAAGTCTATGGAGGTGGACGCAGGGTCTGACAAGTTTGGCTCTTCATAAAGGAACTTCATCCAAAACACTTACTTTGAAATGGGCCTGCTCGAAGATGGTCTCTGCGTAAAACATGATGGCGTTGATGCCGGTAAACTGCTGGAGGAGCATCATCATAACACCAATGCCCAAAGGTTTATAGACACCAGGGTCCTTCAGATCCCCCAGACTGAAGCTTTGCTCCTGCAATCAACCAAATGTCAATCTTAACAGCTCATACATTTCCATGCAGCATTTTTTTCATTTATTAATTGTTTATTTATAATAAAATGATTATTCTGACTTACAGCAACCACTTTTAATGATTCTATCGGATCCCAGTGAATAAAAGTTAATTAAGACATTTGAAATTTAATAGTTTAATTCATAATTTAATCTCCATAATGTCATTCTAAACCTTCATCACAGGCTGTGTTGCTTTAGTTTTTTTTCCCTGGAGAATTTGCTGTAAAAATGTCTAACAGCTGTTGTGAATTGTATCACTTTGCAATGAAAAACTTAAATATATACATAAAAAAGCTTGGAGATCAATTGCAGGTGATTGGGTGTCAACAAGACTGGCTAGTTTTACTAAGACATAAAGAAATTAGGGCCTGTTTAAAATGATTTAAGACCTACAACACAATATTTCAGGGCGAAGCAGTGGCGCAGTAGGTAGTGCTGTCGCCTCACAGCAAGAAGGTCGCTGGTTCGAGAAATCAGTTCGACAGAAATCTATAAGTTTTAATTAAAAATAATTTTGGGTGAACTATCTCTTTTATGTCACATTTTAACTCACTGAATATCAAGTTCACAAAAAATAGGCACATTAAAAAAACTAAAACTGGCTTTTAACGCTGACTTTAATTTTGAAAGGCAGCTCATTATGTTCAATAAAATGAAGAACCAAAAAACTTGGTGATGTCTAACTTCATTTTTGTAGGCATCTTCTATTCTAGCGCATTCCCACTCGGCGGGGGCATCAGGACCCCTAAGGAAGCGCAGGGCGTCCTCTGCTTCCCGCCGTTTCCCTTGGCAGAGCAGAAATCGTGGCGTCTCCGGCATGAAGCACATGGACAGCAGCATGAGTGTGGGAGGAATAGATGATGCCACTGCTAACCATCGCCAGTCCAGGAACAAACCTAAAAAAAGAAGAAAGGATTTCTTTGGCATTACTTTAGAGCATTTTTTACACCTGTGAATCATTTGATTAGTTTCAAAACAAAACATTTCTTTGCGTTTTGAAACTTCTGGTCTGTTTTATTTTTCAAGAAAACATTTTTAAAAATGTGTTCATGCGAGTCATGTGTGCAAAACTGTTCTCTCATTGGTCAAAATGCACTTTTTAACATTATCCATTTTTACAGATTGACGAGTTCTCTCTTTGTTCTTAATGTTGTATTATCTGTATTATATCATTAGATTTAAATTGTTATATACAGTGTTCAGCATAAATGAGTACACCCCTCACAGACCTCTATATTAAATTCATTTTTTCTATTGGATACTTACTCCCAGGGCTGTTTATATATCGTAGTTGATATTTAGCCACACCATAGATTTGAGAACATGCAAACTCCACACAGAAATGCCAACTAAACCACCTGGGGCTCGAACCAGCAATCTTCTTGCTGTGAGGCAACAGCGCTACCCACTGCACCACCATGCCTTCCCAAATAAAAGGCTTAGCCCAGGGATGTCCAAACTCGGTCCTGGAGGGCTGGTGTGCTGCATATTTTGGTTCCAACCCCAATTAAACACACCTGAACTAGCTAATCAAGCTCATTCTAGGTATACTAGAAACTTCCAGGCAGGTGTGTTGAAGGAAGTTGGAGCTAAACTATGCAGGACACCGGCCCTCCAGGACTGAGTTTGGACACCCCTGGTTTAGCCTATTAAAATGAATGGCCTACACACTAATTAAATCAAGTTATTAAATCAACTAGGCCTATAGTTATTTACAGAAGAGCAGTGAATCTCTCATTTTGATCCACTGTTTTGTTTGATGATCTGTCACTTTAATAAAGCACAGACCAATAATGAAAGAATCTGATTACTTTCGTAACTTTTTGTGTTCATTTAAGACAAAATTATTTGTGTTTAAAATAAAACATGTCAGGACGGACATGTTTACATATTATTGAGCGAGTTCGTCTGGTTAAAAACACACCCAAATCTTTATCTCTCATGAGTTTGTTCAGTCATTCATTCATTCATTCATTTTCTTGTCGGCTTACTCCCTTTATTAATCCAAGGTCGCCACAGCGGAATGAACCGCCAATATATCCAGCAAGTTTTTACACAGCGAATGTCCTTCCAGCCGCAACCCATTTCTGGGATACATCCACACACACATTTACACACACTCATACACTACGGACAATTTAGCCTACCCAATTCACCTGTACCGCATGTCTTTGAACTGTGGGGGAAACCGGAGCACCCAGAGAAAACCCACACGAATGCAAGGAGAACATGCAAACTCCACACAGAAACGCCAACTGAGCCGAGGCTCGAACCAGCGACCTTCTTGCTGTAAGGCGACAGCACTACCTACTGTGCCACTGCTTCGCCCTCATGAGTTTGTTATATTTTTAATTCATAATCCCCTTGTTGTTTAAAAGTGAACTATAGTTTGTAGAGATTGAATTCTGTTTTATTCGTACTGTAAATAAAAAAATTATGATGACGCCATGTGATCGGTCATCATGACTGCCACAACTTTGAGCCCCGAAGTGTCCAACTTGACTTTCGCTCGAAGAATTGCTTCAAATCACGTGAACAGAAGCTGATTGAGAACAGTGTCTTTATATAAAACACATCCATCAGTCAGCACCATTACATGAATTAACGGATTTGAAGGTTGGATTGTGAATATGGCCATTTTTATATTCATTTCAGTGCTAAAATAAACCGAAAGCCTAATTCTCTTAAACAGCTCTTGCAATTATATCACATCTACAATCTGCTTTTTGATGCTGCTTTCACAAATCATAGAAGGATTAAAAATATGGCAGAAGTACAGGCAAATACTTAAACGGGATGATAGTGGGTAAGAATGGTAAAATAAGGGAGAATCCCAGCAAAAACGGGAAGGTTGACAAGTATGCATACATCTATGGAAAGCTTATTTATTTAGATGAATAACTCGCCCTCACATCATTGTATAAATCCCCCTATACTGTAAATTCCTGAATGTATTTTAAAATATACTACTACTACTAATGATCACAGAGTATGGGTCAAGATTTCATGCTCCACGTGAGAGATAGAGCTGTGTACAATGCAGGGTCTGTGTTAGCTGATGAGGGAGATTCCTGAGCTAACTTGACCTATCCTGCTAATGCAATTTTGAAAAGCTTGAGTCGTTTCCAGGAGAAATTATGATGCCGTTCTCACACATCCGAGTCAATTTAACAAACACTGAAATGGAGGGCTGCATTACAGAAAAAGAGACATTATATGTGGAAGATTTTGCTGATGTCACTGAAAACGGTTCACACATGTCTTCTGATCAAACATTAACAATCATCTCATACAGATGAGGTCGGAAAAATTCTACTGCCAAAGAGACTTCAGTGTCATAACATGCATGTCATAATTCAGTCACAAGTTTAAAATGAGAGGCAATACCTGTTACATAAGCACCCATAATGCCTATCACAACCATTAGTTGCACACAGGATCCCAAAGTTCCTCTAACACGCTCATGAGCCATTTCAGAGATGTAAAGCTGCAGGAACAGAGACAAAGAAAAACAATACAAGTCAATAATGTGCAATTGATCTGAATATAAATAGAGTAGTTGAGTACAAATTGCAATTAGTATTTGCAATGCTTATTTCTGCAAGTATTTTTCCATTTGCGTTCCCCATAAGGATTTAACAAATATCTGTTAGCATTATGAAGCAAGAACCAAACCAAACAGCAACAAAATTTGATCTGAAGCAAATAAGTGTATGAAAATAAGATGAACTTAATAGGTTTTAATTGAGGGAAAGAACAATAATCCCATAAAAAAATTTAAAAGGCATAAAATTAAATAAAAAAAAGTAAAAATGTCTTAAAAAATGTCTGCATTCATTTTTTTTCTTAGAGAATTTTTAACAATAAACAATAAAAACGATTTCATTTAAATCAATCAGTAACTGAACAAAAAGCTCTCTGTTGTCTTAAAGAGCCCCTATTATAGGTTTATGAAAGTGACCTTTCATAGTGTTTAACACCAATCTAAGTGTATGAAAACATCCAGCTGAGGTTTAAATCTGAAAGTGCACATCGTCTAAAAATATCGAATTTTTAATAAAAGATTTGACTCAGAGTCGTTTAAATGATGACACTATACCAAATATGAAGTGCCGAATCCGGTAAAACGTGAACATACATGCCTTTTCATTCAAACACTAGCCGCGTGTGGGTGTGTGTGGGGCTGTTTAAAACTAAGTTAAGTGAACATTCTGGTGATTAATGCAATAATCTTCCCTGCAACGGGGGATTCATCGGCCGTTTGTTAAAGGAAGGATGAGAAAAGACTATTGATGATGGGACTTTGTCAGAGCTTGACATGTGTGTCATGGTTAAGAATAAAGCAATATGCTGGTGTTTAACTGCATTATTTTAATGCACTCCTGCATTGGACTTACACATATACTCTGCACTCTGGCTACTTGAACAATGTTGATAAGCCGTGGTGGGCGATTCTCTCTGTCTCGCACCGAAAGCAGTCATCGGAACAATCTGCGCAGATTAGCATTGTGCTAAGCAGGGCTTGACATTACCTTTTTTGATCACCAGCCAGTGTGGCTAATAGTTTTCTAACATTACCAGCCACTCGCCATTTTCACTAGCCACAATTTTGTTGTTGGGAAAACATATTTTATTTGCATAAATATGACTTTGACGTGCTAAAATTACTTGATTCGGATTTTGTGGAGTGTACACATGCCTCCTCATTCATTTACCTTTTACTGTATGTTGTGTATGAGCTTGTGTATGAGCTTGCTCAGTGAGTATGAGCACATGGGTCATGGTTTCATAGTGTTGCATTACAATTAGTTTTGATTTCATGACTTTTTAGAGCTCAAAGGATTTACCAAATTAATCTCTATAACCACACTAAAAATAAATAAATAATTATTTCTTAGCCACAAATTTTAAATAATGTGCCAAAACAAGCAAAATATAGCTGTATATTATACTTTTTAATAACAACATCTATTAAAACATTTCTTTAAAAAAACTGTTGACACCAGTTGACTACACATAAATGGGAAGTTAATATCCTATATCCTGTTCAAATAATGGTTAAAGTGAAAGCAACCGGTGCTGCTTACAAAAAGACCAATCTGGAGCTCTTGAAAGCAGCAGGACTGTGGGTGCATTAACATAACTGTTTGGCTGGTCTATTTGAAAGAGAACCAATCACACCAGATGTGTTTAGAGGCACGGTTGTTTCGAGCAAGAAAAATGGGAGCGCTCATCACATCAGCTGTTGGCACAATCCTCTCATTCGGTTTTCAACCGGCTTTCTTTTGGCCGCACGAACAAAATTATATTTGTCAGTCATGCTGCTTCTCAATTCTAAGATCGCATTTTCATGAATATTGGGCCATCCTTATTGTTGAACCCTGCTTTTAAGTAAACTACAATTTAAAAAAAAAATTTTGGCCAGCCAAAGTGGCTAGTGGAAATGGCTGTCTAACCTGCCACAGCTAAAATCTACCCGCATTTGGCGGGTTTTAATGTAAAGCCCTGGTGCTAAGGAGGGGTTTGGAAACAAATGAATAGCTGAACAAATTATATGGGAGTCGCTAGGATAATTAGGTAAAAATAAATGCATCTTACAATGCAATGAAAGTGTTTTTTTGACCTTGCATGTAGATCACCCTATTCTTGGAGACCCCCAAACCCAAAATTTGACCTTTTATAATGCATAATCGTGGCTCTTTAAACAATGTAAAATTATGTAAATATTATATGTTTTTATTTATACTTCAAATACTTTAAATAGTATTATTATAGTTACACACACACGTATTTTGAGTGCATATGGAGCTTTTAGCACAATTCTCTATGCATATATATATATATATATATATTTACAGTTGAAGTCAAATTATTAGCCCCCCTTTGAATTTTTTTTTTCTTTTTAAAATATTTCCCAAATAATGCTGAACAGAGCAGGAAATTTTCACAGTATGTCTGATGAAATATTTTCTTCTGGAGAAAGTCTTATTTGTTTTATTTTGGATAGGATAAAAGCAGTTTAAAAAAAAAAACATTTTAGGGACAAAATTATTAGTCCCTTTAAGCTATTTTTGGTTTCGATAGTCTACAGAACAAACCATCATTATACAATAAGTTGCCTAATAACCCTAACCTGCCTAGTTTAACCTAATTAACCTAGTTAAGCCTTTAAATGTCACTTTAAGCTGTATAAAAGTGTCTTAAAAAATATCTAGCAAAATATTAGTCATCATGGCAAAGATAAAATAAATGAGTTATTAGAGATGAGTTATTAAAACAGAAATGGGGAAAAAATAAACAGGAGGCTAATAATCCAGGGGGGCTAATAATTCTGACTTCCACTGTATATACACACACTGTATATACATATATAAGATTAGTCTGTCTTTAAAGTGCTAGATAAATTATTGCTTAAAATGAATTACCCCTCAGAGGAGATGTGCACTTTTGGCAATGCGCAGGTAGGCTAAAACTTACTGGTACAACTAGAGAGGTCACTCCACTGGCCAAACCAGTGAGCACTCTGCCCACATAGAACATCCAGTGGTTCTGAGCAGCGATAATGGTGGTAAACCCAAAGATGAATGGTATTGCACAGAACATAAGGCTCAACTTTCGTCCGATCCTCTCCACAATCCATCCTCCCAGAAGACCCCCAAGAGCCGCACCAATGGTCACCACAGACTGTAAGACAGGAAAACAGCATTTTGACAATGGCACCTTTAAACATTTAATTGCGGTTCCCCTTTAAAAACCTTTCTAGGGAACTGAAAATGAATAACCTTTCTCTATTGTCACATTGCTGTCAAAATCTGGACCAAAAATAATTCACAAACCCCGAACCAGGAAGCTTCCTCTACGCTGAGCTGCAGTCTCAGGTCTTGGATTCTGCGGAGTTCAGGGATAGCAGGAGAGCTGTAGCCCAGCACGAACCCAAAACTAAGCGGTCCCAGAACTGCTGCGAAGGTGGCGATGAACAGCTTTCCATTCTTAACTTTACTGTTGAGCAAAACACACATTAGTGTTGGATACATTTCTTGCTGAACAGGTTTTTCAATGCAGAACGTCATGGCTGATTCCCTCTGATTTGAGGATAATTGAATACTTCTACAATTGAATACTTAATAATTGAATTAATTGAAATGTAAATAACACTTTAAGTGCAAATAATCTTTAATCATTTACATTTAGCAGATGCAGACGTATAAATGAGCATACTAGAAGTACTTTATGTCATCAGACCAGCAATACATGCCATGAAAAGTCTAAGTTAGTTTAGCTAATTATTTTTTTAACAGACAAACAGGAAAAACAGTACAGGAAGAGCTAGTAAGTGCTATTTTTAGTCAGTTGGGTGTTGATGAAACAGATGTAAAATATAAATCCCAACACTAAAAAGCAGATTAAGGTAAAGTTGGTTTTATATTCACACATTTGTTCGTTTTTTAACAGTGACAACTTGTAACACGCTATTTTGAATATTCGGCCTTTAGACCGTTTTGAGGGATTTAGACAAAAACAATGGTCCCAACGTTTTTCCTGTTTTACATTTTTAATTTCTATAGCTTCGAGAATCCAAAATAAGCCATCTATTGATCAATAATATTATAATAGCTGTTTTTTTATGATTGGATTGCCTCTTGTTACAGTTATAAAATAGTTTGATAACAAGCCGGAAATGTTCAAGGGCCAGTGACATGACCCCATTGAAATGGTCTGTAATAAATATTTTGAGGTAAAGTTTTTATATTCACACATTCAGACTTCCTCCTTAATAATATAATTTCAGAAATGTATTCTTTGCAAATTCCTAATAGTGAAAATCATATTCGCAGCTGTTCTAAAAAAATAAATAGAGAGAAAACCCAGTTCAGGAGACTCAAACAAGCAGAAGCTTTTTTTTTTTATTATTAAGGTGTGTTGGTTAGTCTGCGGTCAAACAGAGCCTTCACGAAGTCCATGAGTCTGCAAGAGCCTACAGGAGTCTCTTACAAGTCTGCAAGTTTATCACAAGTCTGAAGGCAAGTCTAAAATTAGTCTAAATAGCAGGAGGTGAGAGGGTAGGTGGAGATGGCCAAACAAAGCATGCAAATGAAGTAGGTAGGTATGTGAATAAGCTTATTACCAAAAGGGTTTATTTGGCCTTAAAGTATTACCCAAAGAAAAAGGCACAGCCATTGAGACCCTGCCCATAGCATTTGCATCACTTTGGCTCAGGATGCAAAAGGTTTAATGTCCCTCACAGCTGGGGTCATTTATGTTTCCACACAGCCAACGACTATTAAAGTACAACATTGTCCACAGTCAATGAAATTACAAACTTACAAGTGATTTAAGTCTGAATATTCAAAGTACCATGGTAAACAATATAGGGAGCGTGTCACAAGTTTTCACTGAACAAATGGACAAATATAAACCAACTTTACCTTAGTTAAGAAGTATGACTTCAAAATAGGCATGGGACGATAACCATTTTCAAGGTATACCGCGGTTTGGAAAAGTCAAGGTTTTAAAATTGTCAAAATTTTCTGTAATACCATTCCTAAAGTATGTGTAGGATTTTTTTATTTAAACCAAGACAACAGTATCTTTATCAGAAAAAAGATTTTCATCCAAAGATGCCGTTTTAATTTGTAAAGAAATCTGTGTTTTTAAAAGTAATATTCATTTGAATTATTTAGCCTGACATGTTTACTGCTCCAAAATATTTTAAATGTTTCTTAAAATAAAATATATTGTGTTCAAAGGGGAAAAAGTTTAGGGTTTTACTCACACATTTAAAAAGCATATATTTTAGAGCAGTAAAAACAATATCATGATACTGTGAAACCGTGATATTTTTATCCATGGTTATCATACCATCAGAATCATATACAGACCTATGCCTACTTCAAAACAAATTTAATTATTTCATTTGTCTATTTAATTGACTGAACATTGATGTACATTATAATATGATTTTCTTGTTTAGAATTAGGAAAGAATACCTTAATAAAATTATAATATTAAGGAGAAAGTCCAAATGTGCGAAGATAAAACCAACTTTACCTCAATAAAAAAGCAATACCACATTACCGTACAAACATTTGGAAATTATATATAAATATATATATATATATATATATATATATAATTTTTTTTGCTCAGCAAGCCTGCATTCAGTTAATCAAAAGCTTTAATATTAAAGACTAGTATTGTCAAATTTAATGTAACTGCTTTGCGTTGAACTTTAAAAAGTAATTTATTCATGTGATGTTGAATTTTCAGTAATTACTTCAGTCGTCAGTGTCACGTCAGTCTTTTAAAAACAATTGTAAAGTTTCATATATTGAATCTTTAAACGCCAGTTTCTAAAACAGGGAAATGTTAAAAAATTGACAATAAAGTGACCCTTACTCCAGGTATGCGTCTTGCTCGGATCTATCCTCTTCTGTTCGCTCATCATTGACCAACAGTGGTCTGTTTTCTTCATACTCATTCATTGCGCCTCCTCTTACAAATGATAACCACGCTGTTCATAAATGGTCGCCGTGGACAAACTATGATTTTAAATCAAACATTACAATTGCCAAATATGATGCATCAAAGCCTTTGTGTTACGTCTTCACTGGGAAAACTGCTGTACTCAGTAACTAGTGTCATTACTGTCAGCTGATGCATGCTGACAATAATAAAGGTACGTCCGTCCGCCGCCTTTGACTTCAAAATAAGAGTCGTGTACTTTTATTTTGCCTCACCCTGTTCTTTCATAAACGTTTGAATGAAAGAAATCTAAATAAATTTCTTAAACATATTTAATATTTTACTTATTTTGCTCTTTGAACTCAGCAGCATTTTTAAAGATATCCTTTGAGTTTTTTGGATATCATGTATCCTGATTTTTGTCACTTGTGAACCGTCTCCATGGTTACCAAATGTTTTCTAGTCAAAAGTATTTTTATTGGCGGCACTTTTTTGTCACGGGAGGACTTTTCTTTTTTAAAGTTATCTGTCTTTTACCTTTATATTCTCTCTAAGTGATTTAAATAACCTTTAAGCCAATATGAATCCAACTGTCGACTGTTCCGAGGTTTGTATTTTTAAACGAGAGAGAGCGTGTGTGTGTGTGTGTACTGGTTTTGGTGGTTTAGAAGTAAGTTAAATGTTTTTGTATAATGAAATTGGTATGACATAGCTGTACTTTATTATGGTGGATTACAAACATAAGTGATGTAATAAGCGGTTTTGGTAACATTTTAGTTCGGGTCACAATTCACAGAATTAACAAACAATTAACTAACACTATAGCTTAATAAACTACTAACGTTAATTAGCTGTTTGTTAATATTTAGTAAGCTAGAAGTTGGGTTTATGTATTGGGTAGAATTAGGAATGCTGAAAAAGAACACAGTTTATGACTACTAATGAACAGTCAGTCTATTAATAATCAACAGGTAGTAAACCAGAAGTAAATAGCATGAATTATGACCTAAACTAAAGTGTTTTTAATGTACAATATAGACACCTATGGAAAGTCCCTGTTAACCACCAATACTAACGTGTGTGTGTGTGGGTGTGTGTGTGTGTGTGTGTGTGTGTGTGTGTGTGTGTGTGTGTATGAGAACGAAAAGTCAGATAGACAGCAGTTTTTTTTTTTTACATGTTTATTTATTAGCATTACAAATTATGGTAACCACACATAGACCACTATGGTTTAACCATGTTATTTGTAGTAAAAAGTATTGTGTTGTTTTTTAATATCGACCAAAAAGACAAAATAATTATTACTACTCATCATTAGTATAATGAAACCATTGGATTTCAAGGGGGGCAATCTTTCCTAGTCATGTCTTATTCAATCAAGAACTACAGGGAATCTTCTTCATTGAAAATGAATATATATAAACATTTTAGAAATATGTTTTTCAGACCCCAGTACTAAAAAAGAAACCTGAATTGGATGGGGAGCTCATTATAAAAGAAAAGGCTGAAAAGCAGTAAGTGAAAATGCTTATAAACGTAAATGATTCTTGCTTATATATTCTTATAAATAAGAACAATATTTACATTCACTTATATGTATGTCTAGTTATGAAACAGGTATTATTTCCATGGCACATTCTCAGTTTGATAAGGCCGTGTCCTGTTTCTCAAAGGCCATAGTGCTCCAGCCACATAAGGTAAAAACCTTACTCTATTATGCAATCAATACAGTAATCCCTATTTATGGTATCTTCCCCTGAATATTAATCACATTTTACATTCCCATTACCCACAGACTCAGTTTTATGTCCAGCGGGCAGAAGCATATCTTCAACTGTGTGACTTTCAGTCTGCAGCACTGGACTACAAACATGCCAGAAGACTAGAACCACAAACTGAGGCCTACCATCAACGACTCGCCTTCATACACTACCTACAGGTACACAAACTCATTTATTAACAGATGTGAGAAAACATATTATATTATATTATATTATATTATATTATATGATATTATATTATATTATATTATATTATATTATATTATATTATATTATATTATATTATATTATATTTTATTATGTTATGTTATATTATATTAATTTATTTTATTTTATTTTATTTTGTATTATATTATATTATGTTATATTATATTATATTATATTATATTATATTATATTATAATATTTTGTATTATGTTATGTTATATTTTATTATATTATATTATATTATATTATATTATATTATATTATATTATATTATATTATTTTGTATTATGTTATGTTATATTTTATTATATTATATTATATTATATTATATTATATTATATTATATTATATCATATAATATAATATTATATTATATAATATTATATGATATAATATTATATTATATTATATCATGTCATATTACATTATTTTGTATTATGTTATATTATATTATATTATATTATATTATATTATATTATATTATATTATATTATATTATATTATATTATATTATTTTGTATTATGTTATGTTATATTTTATTATATTATATTATATTATATTATATTATATTATTTTATTTTATTTTATTTTATTTTATTTTATTTTGTATTATATTATATTATATTATGTTATGTTATATTATATTATATTATATTGTATTATATTATATTATATTATATTATACTATTTTGTATTATGGTATGTTATATTTTATTATATTATATTATATTATATTATATTATATTATATTATATTATATTATATTATATTATTTTGTATTATGTTATGTTATATTTTATAATATTATATTATATTATATTATATTATATTATATTATATTATATTATATTATATTATATTATATTATATTATTTTGTATTATGTTATGTTATATTTTATAATATTATATTATATTATATAATATTATATTATATTATATTATATTATATTATATTATATTATATTGTACAAACTCATTTTATATAATTTTATTCTTTGTTATAAAGATTTAGATTCACATATGGATAAAGGTGCATCAAAGACAATGTTATTATTTATACTGTGTCTTCATGCTATGTTTTGTACTCATTGTGCATTTTGTTTTCTTGTTAGATGTAAGATAATCATGTGAATTTAGAAGATTAATTATAATTATAGTGGAAAACCTTGTGATCCATATGGCGTTCAGTCAAGATATTGTAATATTTAAGAGACGTTTAAATGGGTATGTTTTCGGAAATATGACACTGATGAAAACATGCTCTAATTTGAGCTTTTTTTGCTCTTTATTTATAATATTTATTCTTCTTGGTTTTGATCTCATTTACAAATGTATCTATTCATTAGTGCATTTTTGAATGATTGTGTATGCAGCCGTTACAAAAATAAAATTAAAATTAATGTTTAATTTCCCATTTATTATTTTCTTTCCTAAAGGGCCAGTGTCTTTTTGATCTAGGCAACTTTCTGGAGGCTTTAGAGTCCTTCACAAAAGCTGCAGAACTCAAACCCGACTTTCAACCTTATCGTATGAGAAGGTCAGTATAGATTTAAGTTAGTATTTAAGTGCATGTTAAAGACTATGAAATCTGTCTGAACCTGCAGTCTATGGTCTGAACTAAACTGACTTCATGCTAATAGGCAATAGTATAACACTAGGCGGCGCTGCATACTTTTTCTTCACCTGATTATTATCTGGTTTATCTGTTTACAAACCAGATAATAATGTTTTTTTTATATCTTCATCATGTTTATAAGGTGTTTTAATCTAATAATTTTTTTATTTATATCTGTTTAAAGATATTATTGATATAAGATGGCTCAAAATGGATTTGCCCATTTAAAGGGATAAATATATTTTCCCTCAAGTTGTTTTAAACTTTTTTAAGCTTCTTTTTTCAGTTGCACACAAAAGAAGATATGCTGGTTTCTGGCAGCCATTGAATTGGGAAAATACTAATATAATACTATAAATACTATAGAAGCAGGGCTGGAGTGGGACTCCTTTTCAGCCCTGGAGTTTTAAGCCTCAGACCGGCCCACCTCAGTTCACGACTGACTATATTAAAATAAGGACATTTCCAGTTCAGTTTCTAATTACACTATCACGTCTTTTTTGAGAAAACAGCTGCTTTAGAACTTCAAATGTTCAACAACCATAACAGTATTATGTCTTAACAATAAAAAAATAATACATAAAAAAAAAAAAATTCTACTCAGATGAGGATCAAACCCAGGTCTGCTGTGTCGTAACCAAACATGTTAACTACTGGACCACAACAACTGTGCATCAAGAGGTGGCTCGTCTGAGTAATATCATCATTAACCTGCAGGCTGCATCCTGATCACCAGGCTGCGAGAAAATAGATAAAAAGAGCAGAGCTGCGGTAAAATAATGGATAAGAAGACTGTGGTCAAGTAAAAAAAAAAAAAAATGAATTTAAAATGTGTGACTGCTGAGAGCAACAGATTCTGGAGCTAGGGACACCGGCCCTCGTGGCCAAAAAACGGACCGGCCCACCGGGAATTCTCCCGGTCCTCCCGATTAGCCAATCCGGGCCTGTATAGAAGTCAACGGGTGCCATCTACCAGTATTCTTCAAAATGACTTCTTTTGTGTCTTAACAGAAGAAAGAACACCAAATAGGTTTTAAATAATGGAAGCAAATGTGACAGAATTTACATTTTTGGGTGAATTATTATTCATGGACACATTTTAAAATATCTAAATTATCTGCAACATCTACCAAAATATTAAAGTAATATTTGTGTTTAAGAAATATAACTTTAATGCTTAAACTGTTGACAAATGGACACTAAACAACAGATTTTGCATTACTAACCAACCCATTGCCACATTCATTTAGCAAATTTGACTGAAAAGTCTGATTGCAGAAAAACTGTTAAAATCTAAACAGGGTCAAAATGCCCCTCAACCATATGAAATTATTAAAAGTTATCAAAAAATTGCTAAAAATGTCTAGGGATTCTCATTTACTGTAGCTTTTTTATGTTAAGATATTTTAAATCTAATGCATTGCAGAAATTTTCAAGTGTGTTCAAAACACTGTTTTTGGCCAACCCTGGATGGCATGAGATTACAATTTTTCCAAAATCTTTGCCGTGTTGTATGTATATTCATAGCTTAGCTTGTCTGAGCGCCCTGGGTCGTTACTTTGACTGTCTTCGACTGGTCAATAACTGGCTGGAGACGGATGGCCTTTCAGCAGATCTCTTCACTCTGAGAGCTCGCCTTCACCATCAGCTCAATCAGGTCAGACCATCGGTTACATCCTTCGGGAAAAAAACATTGCCCTCAAATGACCGCAATAAACAGGTAAATGGGCCGTGTGTCTCCTCAGATGACCCTGTGCTGTCATGACTTGAAGTCGGCACTCAGCATGAAACCGTGCTGTCCAGAGGCGCTTGCACTATTAGGGAGACTAAAGGAAGCAGCGGAAGAGTCCCATCAGGCAGCTGTTGATAAGGCATTAAAGGGAGAGCTTTCAGAGGCACTGGGCAAAATAAACAGTGCTATGGAGTTCATCCCAAATAAAGCACAGTACTACCTATTCAGGTAAAGCTCAGTGTTTTCACAGCCTGCTGAAGAATTTGCTTATCTGTATATTAAGAAATATATTCATGCTAAACAGCTAAAGTAGGGGCTATGAATTTGCTTTATTATAGGCTTCTTAGTACTGATTCTTTTTAAGCTTTGTTGTATTCTGAGACTCAAGCTACAAACACAAAAATCCGGTCAGGGGTAAAGCCAAAATTAGCTGGCTAGCCAGTTAAGCTTCAGTTAAGTTTGCACCAATACTGGGTTTTAGGTACCCTGAAGGTAGTGTAGCTGCTCCTTAATACCATGGCAACAAAGAGTGATTAAAGTCGAGCTGCCTTCATGCTACCTAAAACCCAAGATTGGGGCAAAGCAAAGTGAAACTTAACTAGCTAGTCAGTTAATCCAGTTTCATGATACATGATTTAGGGTGTTTAGCAGGCCTATGCTAAATCTTTTCTAACTAATCAGATATTACAAATTAACAATCAAAGTAACAATCAATGGAAGAAAAGGTTTAATTTATGAAAAGCAAGCATTAGCAACATGCTATTTCATGCTAATGAAATTCAATGTTAGCCATTTCAGAAACACGCTGACAATATGCTAAATACATATTAGAAGCATGTTATCAATGTGCTCAATCAAACTTATGAAAAACTTATGAAAAATTGCTGATTTGTGAAGCGTTAGCAACGTTATTTCCTGCTAATGAAATTTCATGTTAGACATTTTAAAAACATGCTGGAAACATGCTAAATGCATATTATGAACATGTTATCAATGTGCTGCTTCATGATAAAAACAATACAATTTCTGAAAAATTGCTAATTTGTAAATCGTTGGCAACGTTATTTCATGCTAAGGAAATGTCACGTTAGCCCTTTTAGAAACATGCTGGAAACATGCTAAATACATATTAGGAACTTGTTATGAATGTGTTTCTTCATGCTAAAAACTTTAAAACTTACAAAAATTGCTTATTCATTCGAGAATTAGCAACATGTTATTTCATGCTAATAAAAATTCATGTTAGCCATTTTAAAAACATGCTGGAAAGATGCTAAATTCATATTAGAAACATGTTATCAATGTGCTACTTTATGCCAAAAACAATCAAACTTATAAAAAATTGCTAATTTGTGAAGCGTTGGCAACAATATTTCATGGTAATGAAATGTCACGTTAGCTCTTTTAGAAAAATGCTGGAAACATGCTAAATACATATTAAAAACATGTTATCAATGTGTTGCTTCATGCTAAAAACATTCAAATTTATAAAAATTGCTAATTTGTTCGAGCATTAGCAACATGTTATTTCACCTGGAGGACATGCAAAATCCACACAGAAATGCTTACTGGTCGAGCCGGGACTCGAACCAGCGACCTTCTTGCTGTGAGGCGACAGTGCTAACCACTGAGCCACCGAGCCACCCCCTAATTTAATTTAATTTAATTTAATTAATGCAACCTAAAAATTATGAAGAAGACATAAAAGTATATAAATGGTAGTAAACTATGCATATTTTCTGCCTGCTATTAGGGGAATTCTGTATCGGCGCCTAAAAGACTTCACTGCTGCCATTGAGGACTTGGTTCTTGCTGTTGAGTTTTGTGGGATTGAAGAAGAATCTCCTCAGGGAAAGCCCCAAGATGACTCTGATGGTTTAGAGGAAGAAGCACAGACCCAAATGGTGCTCACGTACAATGATTTTGCCATTCAGTGCTTCTCCCAGGGTCTGTACAGTGAAGCTGTCATACTGCTGAACAAGGCCATAGAGAAACAAAGAGATGCAAGTGAACTGTTCATCAACAGAGGAGGTATGGAAGATAAGAGAAAAAAAAGTTTCATGGCAACGTTATTTCATGCTAAGGAAATGTCACGTTAGCCCTTTTAGAAACATGCTGGAAACATGCTAAATACATATTAGGAACTTGTTATGAATGTGTTTCTTCATGCTAAAAACTTTAAAACTTACAAAAATTGCTTATTCATTCGAGAATTAGCAACATGTTATTTCATGCTAATAAAAATTCATGTTAGCCATTTTAAAAACATGCTGGAAAGATGCTAAATTCATATTAGAAACATGTTATCAATGTGCTACTTTATGCCAAAAACAATCAAACTTATAAAAAATTGCTAATTTGTGAAGCGTTGGCAACAATATTTCATGGTAATGAAATGTCACGTTAGCTCTTTTAGAAAAATGCTGGAAACATGCTAAATACATATTAAAAACATGTTATCAATGTGTTGCTTCATGCTAAAAACATTCAAATTTATAAAAATTGCTAATTTGTTCGAGCATTAGCAACATGTTATTTCACCTGGAGGACATGCAAAATCCACACAGAAATGCTTACTGGTCGAGCCGGGACTCGAACCAGCGACCTTCTTGCTGTGAGGCGACAGTGCTAACCACTGAGCCACCGAGCCACCCCCTAATTTAATTTAATTTAATTTAATTAATGCAACCTAAAAATTATGAAGAAGACATAAAAGTATATAAATGGTAGTAAACTATGCATATTTTCTGCCTGCTATTAGGGGAATTCTGTATCGGCGCCTAAAAGACTTCACTGCTGCCATTGAGGACTTGGTTCTTGCTGTTGAGTTTTGTGGGATTGAAGAAGAATCTCCTCAGGGAAAGCCCCAAGATGACTCTGATGGTTTAGAGGAAGAAGCACAGACCCAAATGGTGCTCACGTACAATGATTTTGCCATTCAGTGCTTCTCCCAGGGTCTGTACAGTGAAGCTGTCATACTGCTGAACAAGGCCATAGAGAAACAAAGAGATGCAAGTGAACTGTTCATCAACAGAGGAGGTATGGAAGATAAGAGAAAAAAAAGTTTCATGCGGTTTGGGCTGAGAGTGACAGAAATAATCAGTTTTTTTTTATTACAAAAGGCTTCAGTCATTAAACCTAATAAGTTCAGATTTCTCAAAATATTTATGGAAACATTCATTCATTTATTTATTCATTCATTTTTCTTCGACTTATAGTCCCTTTATTCATCAGGGGTCGCCACAGCGGAATGAACCACCAACTTATCCAGCATAGGTTTTATACAGCGGATGCCTTTCCAGCTGCAACCCAGTTTTGGGAAACATCATCTACACATACACTATGGCCAATTTAGTTTATATGTATATGAGGGCGAAGCAGTGGCACAGTAGGTAGTGCTGTCACCTCACAGCAAGAAGGTCGCTGGTTCGAGCCTTGGCTCAGTTGGTGTTTCTGTGTGGAGTTTGCATGTTCTCCCTGCTTTTGCGTAGGTTTCCTCCAGGTGCTCCGTTTTCCCCCACAGTTTCCCAGAGATGGATTGCGGCTGGAAGGGCATGGGCTGCATAAAAACTTGCTGCATAAGTTGGCGGTTCATTCCGCTGTGGCGACCCCGGATTAATAAAGGGACTAAGCCGACAAGAAAATGAATGAATGTATATACAGTTGACGTCAGAATTATTAGCCCCCCTATACATTTTTTTTTATTTTTTAAATATTTCCTAAATAATGTTTATCAGATTCAGGAAATTTTCACAGTATGTCTGAAAATATTTTTTCTTCTGGAGAAAGTCTTATTTTGTTTTGATTTTGGCTAGAATAAAAGTAGTTTAACTTTTTTAAACAACATTTTAAGGACGAAATTATTAGCCCCTTTAAGTTTAATTTTCTTTGAATAGTCTACAGAACAAAGCATCATTATACGATGACTTGCCTAATTACCCTATCCTGCCTAGTTAACCTAGTTAACCTAGTTAAGCCTTTAAATGTCACTTTAAGATGTATAGAAGTGTCTTTATCTAGTAAAATATCTAGTAATATATTATTTACCGTCATTATGGCAAAGATAAAATAAATGAGTTATTAGAAATGAGTTATTAAAACTATTATGATTTAAAATGTGTTGAAAAAATCTTCTCTCCGTTAAACAGAAGTTGGGGAAAAAAATAAACGGGGCCAATAATTCACGGGGGTTAATATACATATAGTATATATATAATTATTATTTTTTCCTCTCAGATAGTTTTTTTAAGCAGTGTGAATGGACCTTTGCTCTGGCTGACTATCAGCAAGCTGAGGAGTTGGACCTGGAAAACACAGCTATCTGGCTACGACTTGCTGTTATTCACAACACACTGGGTCTGCAGAGCTACGAAGACAAGTATTTAACGTTATGGTAAAATGCGACATTCTTCACCTCATGTTTATTGATGTCATGTCGTGAATGTGATTTGTTGCAGGAAGTTCCAGGAAGCAGCAGAAAGGTTTTCTGTTGCAATAAAGTACAACCCTGGTGTAGTTCAGTATTATGAGAATCGAGCCAAATCTTTTAACAAACTGGGCAAAACAGAGGAGGCCAAAAACGATGCCATCAGTGTTCTTGTCTTAGAGCCCACCAATGACCAGGCAAGTCTTTCTTTTCTCTCACATTCCCAAGCTAGAGCAGATATTTTTCATTCAAATATAGATAAAACGTTTAACGGAAGTTTTTTCGGGTTTGTGATAACGCCGAGGGCTCCAAACAATGATAATCCTTTTCAATTTTTTTTTAATGTAAAACATTTTAATTGATTATTAAATTATGAATTTATTAGTTTATTTATTCAAATATATTAATCTATTTATTATTATTATTATTATTATTATTATTATTATTATTATTATTATTATTATGTATATACATATATATAAATATATATATATATATATATATATATAATCATTTATTATTTATTTATTTATTTATTCATTATTATTTTATTTATATAATTATTATTTATTTATGTTTATTTTATTTATTATTAATTTATTGTTATTTTATTTAAATATTTATTATTTTATTATATTTGATTATTTATTTATTATTCATTATTTATTATTTTATCTGAATCTATTTATTATTTATTTATTTTTTTAATATATATATATATATATATTTACTTATTTATTTTTTAATTTTATTTAAATTTATTTATTTATTATTTATTTTTTATTCATAAAAACATCAAATTTATTCATTTGTAATTTGTATTTTATTTATTTAATGAACTTTCATCACATTTTATCATACTGTGTGAAAATAGTATGACTAATATAGAACACAATATATAAATATATTTATATATAATTTCCATATAGTTATTATTTTTGGCTACTGTTTATTTAAGCCTATTTTTGTTTAATTTGTTCAGTCATTTGTTTAAAATATTATCAGATATTTTATATAATAAAAAGGTAGTTAGATTTTACAAGCAATAAATAGTAAATAAAAACATCAGGAGTCTTTTAATTTAAAATTTTCAATATACCAATAATATTAGATTGTTATATATATTTTTTAATAAATTCAACCTCGGTGAGCAGAAGAAAATGCCTTCAAAAGCATAAAAATGTACATAAATAATAAAATAAAATAAAAATTATTTTAAACACTTACAGTATATATTGATAATAAACTCGAAAACAGTGACTTGAAAAGGATAAAAGTGCAAAAAAATGTGTTGCTTTAAATTATTCCTTAATCTTGGACTAGGTGGTGCCATTGCTGTTAAGTCTGCTCCCAGGATGCTCCTTGACTGATATCATGTCGTGTGCCACTGCACAATCTGTCAAAACCCTGCTCATGGAAAAGATTGAAATGTTCAACCTTGCAGTCTCCTGTATGTCAAGGTTAGTAATACTGCTCAAAAATATACTATTTATGCTAGTTGTTTTTTTTTTTTTTTAAGTTTGATTATAGAACCGCTCTCACCCCCAAAAGAGTTTATGCTAGAGTATGTGCATGCAGGTTTAATGCTAAGAATCCAGTTTTAATTTTAACTGCATAATTGCTTGTTTTAGAGTAGGCAGAATGGCCCTCGCCAAGGATGACAGTCAATCACAATCATCCTCACAGAAGTTACAGGGGCAGAAGACGGAACCTTGTGATACTACAGTAGACGTTCACAGCAAACTAGTCAAGAAAAAACAACAGGTACACATTCATCAAATCTACTGCTGCAAACAGGATTACATGCTGGCTTCTGTCCAATAATATTTATATATATATATATATATATATATATATATATATATAGGCGATGGAGTGGCTCAGTAGGTAGTGCTGTCGCCTCACAGCAAGAAGGTGGCTGGTTCGATCCTCGGCTGAGTCAGTTGGTGTTTTTGTGTGGAGTTTGCATGTTCTCCCTGCGTTTGTGTGGGTTTCCTACGGGTGCTCCGGTTTCCCCCACAGTCCAAAGACATGTGGTACAGTTGAATTGGGTAGGCTTAATTGTCCGTAGTGTATGTGTGTAAATGTGTGTGTGGATGTTTCCTAGAGATGGGTTGCAGCTGGAAAGACATCTGCTGCATAAAAAAATGTTGGATAAGTTGGCAGTTCATTCCGCTGTGGCGACCCCGGATTAATAAACTGACTAAGCCGACAAGATAATGAATGAATTAATAATTTAGTCACCGAACATCTTTAGAAATAGAAAGAAAATTCATTTAAATTCATTCGAAATATTGGGGGAAAAAATCACAAACAACACAATTTTAACAAAATGTTTTTTTTTTACATTTTTTTATTTAATATTTTTCCTTAACATAAAACCTGGACCGTTATCATGAGTTATCTTGTTTTCAAAATTGGCTTCAGTACTGACTAATTTAATGTAAGCACAAATATAATATTGGAAAGCTTCCTAAAGAAAATGATAATCTAAATTAGAGATTTGTGAAGAGTGCATGTTGAGCATGTGCATGTTCATTCATTTTCTTTTTCGGCTTAGTCCCTTTAATAATCTGGGGACCCCACACTGCCAACTTATGCAGCATGTGTTTTTCGTAGCGGATGCCCTTCCAGCTGCAACTCAACACTGGGAATCATCCATAAACACTCATTCAAACACATACACTATGGACAATTTAGCCTACCCAATTCACCTATAGCGCATGCTTTTGGACTGTGGGGGAAACTGGAGCACCTGGAGGAAACCCACGCCAACACGGGGAGAACATGCAAACTCCACACAGAAATGCCAACTGACCCAACCAAGGCTCGAACCAGCAACCTTCTTGCTGTGAGGCAATCGTGCTACCCACTGCACCACTGTGACGCCCCTACATTTATTTATATATATATATATATATATATATATATACACACATTTATTTATTTATTTATTTATTTATTTATTACATTATTTACAAAGTTTTTTTTTTACCAGGCCACAGATATAATTCTGTTTTGATGGTATAAATATACTTTTTGGACTTCCAGTAGCATTTTATAAATCACCAAATCGTAAAAGGGCCACAGTTTCAGCTTTAGAAAGAAAACAAAATCTTGATAAACAAAAGTGTTCTACTGAAGAAAAAGAAAATTAACAATCAATATTTAAAAAAAAGATAATATTTTTGCTGCAAAGCAACATTTTATTTACCTCACCCTGAAAGTATTATTCCAATACACTAATTCTGTACTACAGAAACTTTTTAAAGAACTCTTAGCACAGTTAGAGATGGCAGTTTATTATGAAGCATGGATTAATATGCTTCACTTATTATTAGTTAAATACCAAAAGAAATATAATATATAGATTATATTTCTTTCAAAAGCTGTTGATTTTAAACATAAAAAAATAAATTTTTAATTTTTTTATTTTATAAAAGAGTGTCTGGAATGTGTGACATAAATCATTATAATATGATTCTCAGTTAAATGTGTTTTCTCGGAAAGGCTAAATCTAACTAATGTGGCATTAATCTTTTCTGTTTATGGTGTCAGCTGAATCAAGCTGTGAAAAGAGTCCTGCAGCAGAAACAGCCCCTGCACTTTGACGGACCCCGTCTAGCCCCCGCCCGCCCCGTTCGTGAACACCCCAGCGCGCAGACCCAGCGGCCATATGTGTGGAGGAAGTTTGGGGGCTTCGGACTCAATTGTTGAAGACTGGGTAAACAATTACTCCCATAACACTTTTGGGGGGTGAAAAACTGGTTAGTTCACCCAAAAAATAAAACAACGTCATCATTTAATTACCATCATGTTGTTCTGAAAATGAATGGCTTTCTTTGTAAAGATAAAAACGGTTATTGAAGTCGACACAAAATGCAAGAAACACAGATGAAGTTTATGAATGACGGTGTGTATGATATTTGAAGTTGTTCGATTGAGTCCGAGTTGTTTTGTTCGTAGCAGCTGTTTCTGTTCAGCAGCTGGGGAAACAGCTGAGAGAGAGAGAAGTGTATAAAAACACCACTGGCAGCTGATCCCAGACTTTTATCACAGACGTTTACACTCCCTTGCTAATAGTGAAACACATGTTTTGAGCCCCTAGAGGAGACGGGGCCGAGAGCTTTTGGCATCGTAACAATGGAACAATCAGACGTCATTTTCTGACATTTATTATTCAGTCCAGTCTAGTTATGCAGACTGAAGAAGAGCACATTTTCTCGCTGTGTGGGGATCTCAACCAGACTTCCAGCTTGTCTTTTTTTTTTTTTTTTTTTTTGATGTAATTAAAGTTAGATTTATTAGCCCCCTTTGAATTTTTTTCTTCCTTTTAAAATATTTTTCAAATGATGTTTCACAGAGCAAGGAAATTTTCAGAGTATGTCTGATAATATTTTTTCTTCTGGAGAAGGTCTTATTTGTATTATTTCGGCTAGAATAAAAGCAGTTTGAAGGTTTTAAACACTATTTTAGGGACAAAATTATTAGCCCCTTTAAGCTATATATATTTTCTTGACTGTCTACAGAACAAACCATCGTTATACAATAACTTGCCTAATTATCCTGCCTAGTTAACCTAATTAACCTAGTTAAGCCTTTAAATGTCACTTTAAGCTGTATAGAAGTGTCTTGAAAAATATCTAGTAAAATATTATTTACTGTCATCATGGCAAAGATAAAATAAATCAGTTATTAGAAATGAGTTTTTGAAACTATTATGCTTTTATAGGATCTCAGATTTCTCCTGCGAGTGCCATTTGTGCCTGCTTTTCTCACGTAAATCCACCAGAGGCCGCTGTCGACTGACTGGCTGACTGACTGACCAACCCCTTCCCTAAACCTAACCGATAGTGTTTTAAAAAGCACTGATTGACCAGCGCCCACCCACTTCCCTATACCCAACCAAAGGTGTTCTAATAAGCAATCCAGAAAAAGAAAAGCCATCGCCTGGTTTTTACCACGTTTTCAGATTTTACCATATTCTCACCCTGTTATTTACTTGTTTATTTTATTTGTTAGCTACTGTTTTTGTCTTACCTGTTTTCTGGAACCGTTCTTTGCCAGACTCGAACCCCATCGCAGTGGTCAACTCCTTTCTGTCTTAAGGCTGATTTATACTTCTGCGTCAAACGTCGGCGTATGCTACGGCGCTGACGCATAGCCCTTCGCCGTGGCCATCGCCGTCACTGACGTGCACCTCTCAAAAAATGTAACTACACGTCGCAACGACGCGTAGCGTAAGCTCTGTGATTGGTCGGCTTGGTAGCGCTGACGAGTCTGGGCGGGACCGAGAGCCGCGCGAATGGCGCGAGCGATTGTTTACAAGTGTGGAGTCCCGTGAAGGAGCTCTGAATGGAAAGTTTTGTTTTGTGTTTACCTCATAGTTAAAGTTGTTGCACGTCCGCCGGTTCCTGCCTCAAAATGAGCGAGTTTGAGCCACTTGTACATCCCGGAAGTGTTCAGGAAAAGCAAAAAGGCAGAGAAGAAACTCGACACAGAGGAACATTAACACCTCACTGCCAACTAGCGTTTTGGAAGTGTTAATGCAGACCGACAGAGACAGCGCGCAGAAGTATAAATGCACAGCCACGCGCATTGCCATGGCGAGCCACAGGACAAACTGGTAACAGCGGAAAAGCCATCGATAGGTAAGCAGTCAGCTGGTAAGCGCGAAAAGGAACGGCGTTATACCGCCTGTAGCGTTAATTTTAAAGACGAAATGCAGCCATACGTAGCTCTGTCTACATAATCTGCCATCTCCTGAAATTTATATAGGGCTAGGTTTTCAGAATTATCAAAGAAGTCATCTGTGATATAAAGAATAGATTGTTCATTTATTTTTAATTTAAATGGATAAACTCAAAAACAAAAAGAGAGCCAGAGAAATGGAGGAAGGCCAGGGCAGACTGTGAATAAAAACAGCAGTCTAGATACGCTTGCTTTCGAGTGAAGCTTGCGGCGGTGGGGCTTGGTGGAGTTTCCTCAGACAGTGTGTGTGTGTGGGGGCCGAGACCACGAACAAAGTGGTTTTAAACAGACAGTGGTCATAAAGAAGCCCAAAAGTGCTTCACGCTGGTGTAATAAAAGTGTAAGGTTACTCTTTTTTGGCAGATTAGGACAGACAGCCAGGAGAGTCACGAGCTGCCAGCTTCCCCCCCAGACAAAAACACCTTTCTCTGGGCGCAGGAGCTGGTGGCCTGGCTTCTAGTCAAAGAAGTCTTTGCCGACCCAAAGTTTCATTCACGTTTGCTGGGAGACTGTTTTGTCTAAAACATGCCATGTGTGTTTGTAATTTTTGGAGAGTGTCGGGAGCGTGCAGATGGACCGACTCAAATGGACTGAAGTCTGAAGAGTTTTGAGGAAAGCCACAAGAGTTTTCTTTCTTCAGCATTGTAATTGAACAGTTTTTCCTTGAATAATAATTTCCCCTGAATGTACACACACAGTGTTCAAATGACAATAAATCTTAAAAAACATTTATTCAAAGCTGAAAAACATTAGATAGGTACAGTACATCAAGTAAAACAATAAATTAATATATTTACATATAAAATTATTTTCAAACCCACAGATTTGTTTGAAAATTCTATCCACTGCTATATACAGTTGAAGTCAGAATTATTAGCCCCCTTTTGTGTTTATTTAATTTTTTTTAAATATTTCCCAAATTATTTTTAACAGAGCAAGGAAATTTTCACAGTATGTCTGATAACATTTTTTCTTCTGGAGAAAGTCTTATCCGTTTTATTTCGGCTAGAATAAAAGCAGTTATTAATTTAAAAAAAAAGATTTTTGGGACAAAATTATTAGCCCCTTTAAGCTAATTTTTAGGCTTATAACTTGCCTAATTACCCTAACCTGCCTAGTTCACCTTATTAAACTAGTTAAGCCTTTAAATGTCACTTTAAGCTGTATAGAAGTGTCTTGAAAAATATCAAGTAAAATATTATGTACTGTCATCATGACAAAGATAAAATAAATCCGTTATTAGAAATAAGTTTTTAAAACTATTATGCTTAGAAATGTGCTGAAACAATCTTCCCTCCATTAAACAGAAATTAGGGAAAAAAATAAACAGGGGAGCTAATAATTCAGGGGGGCTAATAATTCTGACTTCAACTGTACATCAATCCACTTGTCTTGTTCCTTAAAGGTTTAGTTGAATGTTTAGTTGTACCCAGATGATGTCTGACCTGTCTGGCACAAACAAACGAATATAAAGAATTAAATTGCCTCTTTTACGGCCTCTTAAAACGGACATAGACAAGTGGTCCCTGCTGAGGAACCTTTGAAAGACAGTTTATTCATTTTGGATAGATAATGCGTCTGCTGTTTTTTTGTGACTCATAAACTTTCCAGCTGGATTTGAGGAGCCTTGGTGTTTCCTTTTCAGGTGGATAGTCTTCATTTCTCCATCCATATCTTGCTCTGAGTCTGCTTTTTCTGTGATTTTGACTAGCAGGGCATCGTGCTGTCCCTGTGAATAAGTTGTCCAATGCATACTTGGCCTGCTGGGAGGTCGTAAAACTGTCCTCACTTTCAGGGTGCCGTTAACAGGCACGGTTTCTTGCATTACATGGTGCGTGGCCGGGATTTGTGTAACGGCAGGCCAGGACCACAGGTCCGCATCCAGGGTTTCTGCGGAGTAGTCCAGATAGTCCGTGCTTTTTCCTTCATCTGAGGTTGTGAAGTCTGCCATTGAAAGAAGGAGTGTGATTAACATGATGGACAGTCTCTGGAAAACGAAAGGTAGAATTCACCCAAAAATGCCAGTTCTGTCATAATTTAATCACCCTAATGTTGTTCCAAACCTGTATGACTTTTTTATTCTCTGAGGAAAGAATGTACTGGTAGCTCAAGTGCAGTTGCATGGAATGAGAACTAAGCAGCACAGGCCCATTCTGACATAGCCCTATATACGTTTCTGGAGAACGCTACGGCACGGTATGATGTCGTTCCTTTTCTTGCTTACAGCTGACCACTCACCTCCGTATGGAAGGCTTGACCACTGTTACCAGTTTGCCTAGTAGCTCGCCATGTACGTTGGCGGACTTGAGACGCAGAGAAGAATTGACCACGACGACAGGGTTTAAGTCCGGTGAAAAACAGTTCCAGAAAGCAAGTAAGACAAAAACAGAAGCCAAAAAACCCCCATTTAAATAAACAAAAAATAACAGGGTGAGAATGTGGTAAAATCTGAAATCGTGGTAAAAATCAGGCAAGGGCTTTAATTTTCCTGGATTGCTTTTTAAAACTTTTGGTTGGGTTTAGGGAAGTAGGTGGGTGCGTCAATCAGTTCTTTTGAAATCACTATTTGTTGGGTTTAGGGAAGGAGGAGTGTGGGTCAGTCAATCGATCAGTCAGTCAGTCAGTCAGTCGACAGCGTCCCCTGGTGGATTTATGCGAGAACATCAGGCGCGAATGGCCTTCGGGAGAGAAATTTGAGTTCTGAAAAAGCGTACACAGCAGATAACCTGGGACGTATTTGGCGATCTCCAGAAATGTATATAGAGGTACGTTTTTAGAATGAGCCTGGGTTGGGGAAAAGTGAGCTGCAATAACAACGTTTTACCTTGATTTCACATCGCTTTTGTCTCTTTTGTGAATCCAAAGTCACACACAAGTTTTTGACCATACAAAGTGAGTTACCAAGCAAACCGACCTCACCAATAAAGTTGTGCAGATAGATAGATGAGGCTAAGTTATTAGATTACAAATCGTTAAGGCGTTTTGTAGAATTCATTTGCCATTGTACAAAGAACTGCACTAAAATAATCCTTTATTACCGAAAATATGTCTCTGAAAATATTATTAATATGAAAAGGAACAAAGCATGTATTTCCAATGAGCCTGTGTTTTAATCATCGATTTTTATCAGATTTTTTTGTGGTGTCCACTTGTAATCGAATTGACAAAAAGACATATTGTCCCTATCATTCCCATTTGCTCTAATTATATAAGCCACCAGCATCACACTTTTCTCTTTTGTGGAAGAAAGAATACAGATTTGGAACAACATGAGTGAATGATGTACTGTAAATAATGACAAAATTAGTCTTTTTGGGTGAACTATCCCTTTAAATGCTCACTATGAGTCTGTTTGTCATCTTAAAGAGGCTTTTCACCTCCAGATAAAAAGATGCATCATACACAGCAGCAGAGGGTGTAGCAGTTGAGTTTGGCTGCGTTACGTCCCGTTCCAGCATAACGGTTCTTCTTGGGCAGCAGCAGAATAAAGGACATGGCCAGAGACACGTGGTAGAAACTGTGAACATAAGCGTAGTCCCACTCCTGTGGGAGTAAATGGGCAAGTCATTACCACAGGCTTTCCTAACAAACAACTTGTGTAAAGTGTTCCCTCAGTAGCTGCACATGTTCATATTTTTTTACCTCAAAATAGAAGCGAAGCATCAAAGCAAGAGCACCGAAGCAGCACCCTGGGCCCACTTGTTGAGTGTAAACACTTTTGTCTGGATAAAGGCCTTTCTTTTCCTTCATTTTCTGTAACTGGAGCAAAGACAAAAAAAAAAAACATTTGTAAAATCTTGTGAAAGCATTTGTGGGAGATAATAAAATCCTGAGTTTCCATGTTGCCATGAGCAAATAGAGCTTATTTGGTGATTCGCTCTTAGGCCTCATCTGCATTAATCTTGACACATTTGAAGATGTAAAGTTGAAGTCAAAATGATTCACACTCCTGTCAATGTTTTTTTTTTTTATATTTCTCAAATGATGTTTAACAGAGCAAGGAATTTTTCACAATATTTCCTATAATATTTTTTCTTCTGGAGAAAGTCTTATTTGTTTTATTTTGGCTGTAATAAAAGCAGTTTACATTTTTAAAAACCATTTTAAGGTCAATATTTTAGTAGCCCCCTTAAGCAATATTTGTTTTTGATTGTCTACAGTACAAACCATCGTTATACAAAGACTTGCCAAATTACCCTAATTTACTTAATTAACCTAATTAAGCCTTCTAATGTCACTTTAAGCTGAATACTAGTGTCGTGAAAATATCTCACTTTTATGTGTTTACTCACATTTACTCTACAATTTAAGGAGCTACAGGTTTACTCACTTTTAAAGTAAAGGCAACGAATAGATTTTAAACCAATGGGTTTACTCACGTTTTAAAAGTAAAGGCAACTAATAGATTTAAAAACAATGGGTTTACTCACTTTTTAAAAGTAAAGGCAACTAATAGATTTAAAAACAATGGGTTTACTCACTTTTTAAAAGTAAAGGCAACTAAGAGGTTTAAAATCAATGGGTTTACTCACTTTTTAAAGTAAAGGCAACGAATAGATTTTAAACCAATGGGTTTACTCACTTTTTAAAGTAAAGGCAACTAATAGGTTTAAAAACAATGGGTTTACTCACTTTTTAAAGTAAAGGCAACGAATAGGTTTAAAACCAATGGGTTTACTCACTTTTTAAAGTAAAGGCAACTAATAGGTTTAAAATCAATGGGTTTACTCACTTTTTAAAGTAAAGGCAACTAATAGGTTTAAAATCAATGGGTTTACTCACTTTTTAAAGTAAAGGCAACGAATAGATTTAAAACCAATGGGTTTACTCACTTTTTAAAGTAAAGGCAACGAATAGATTTAAAAACAATGGGTTTACTCACTTTTTAAAGTAAAGGCAACTAAGAGGTTTAAAATCATTGGGTTTACTCACTTTTTAAAGTAAAGGCAACTAATAGATTTAAAACCAATGGATTTGCTCACTTTTTAAAGTAAAGGCAACTGATAGATTTAAAACCAATGGGTTTACTCACTTTTTAAAGTAAAGGCAACTAAGAGGTTTAAAATCATTGGGTTTACTCACTTTTTAAAGTAAAGGCAACTAATAGATTTAAAACCAATGGGTTTACTCACTTTTTAAAGTAAAGGCAACTAATAGATTTAAAACCAATGGGTTTACTCACTTTTTAAAGTAAAGGCAACTAATAGATTTAAAACCAATGGATTTGCTCACTTTTTAAAGTAAAGGCAACTGATAGATTTAAAACCAATGGATTTGCTCACTTTTTTACGAAAGTCTTCTTACTTTTTACAATGTACTGCTGTTATATAATGTACATACAATCTGTTATTTTTTTATTAACAAAAAAATAAATAAATAAAATAAAATTCTGTGTAAACTAATGTGGACAACTTTGACCATCTCACAGATATCGTCATTCACATGAACTAATTCCTTAACTCATGGGGTGTCCAAACTCGGTCGTGGAGGGCCGGTGTGTCCTGCAGATTTTAGCTCCAACTTGCCTCAACTCACCTGCAAGGATGTTTCTAGAAAGCCTAGTAAGAGCTTGATTAGCTAGCCCAGGTGTGTCTGATTGGGATTGAAACTAAACTTTGCAGGACACTGGCCCTCCAGGACAACTCTACCTTAACTGGAAGAATCTGACCCATCTGACGTGTCTCAAACTCACCCATTTGACTGTGATCATAAAGACAGCTGTCCCGATGGGGCCGGAGTAGATGCCGTATCCCAGTCGGTCCTGGTAGATCCTCACAGCTGCGGTCAACACCCCAAACATGGTGAGCGAAGAGCGTTTGGGCTCATCGAAATCCCCAAGCGCTGCAAATAAAGCAAATACTTGACACGTCAAAGTGGAATGCAAAATGTAAACACCTGTCAACATGCTCGTGAAAAATAGCCTTTTGCATCACACTGTTTGACACGTCTATTTTATCATAAATAGATTTACAGAATTATTCGCCCTCCTGTGAATTTGTTTTTCTTTTTTCGAATATTTCCCAAATGATGGAGCAAGGAACTTTTCACAGTATTTCCTATAATATTTTTTCTTCTGGAAAAAAATGTATTTGTTTTATTTTGGCTAGAATAAAAGACGTTTTTAATTTTTTAGAAATCATTTTAATGTTTAATGTTTTAATGTAATGTTAGCCCCCTTAAGCAATATTTGTTTTCAATTGTGTACAAAACAAACCACTGTTATACAATGACTTGCCTAATTAACTATAGTTAAGCCTTTAAATGTCACTTTAAGCTGTATAGAAGTGTCTTGAAAAATATCTAGTCAAATATTATGTCCTGTCATCACGGCAAAGATAAAAGAAATCAGTTATTAGAAATGAGTTATTGAAACTATTATGATTAGAAATGTGTTGAAAAAACATTCCTTCCGTCAAACAAAAAGAATTCAGGAGGGCTAATAATTCTGATTCCAAATGTGTACCTGTGGACATTCATTACAGAGAAATCCTCACAGTTTGTATGCAGTTAGATGCAATTGTTATTATTTGCTCACCCAGTAGCGTGACCCACATGGAGATGGCTGTCCCGTACACGCTGAAGTACTCCAGAATGTCATACTTCATGAAACAGAGAATGGACAAGCCCGGACCGTCACATGCGTGGTAAATCTGAGCACAAATGCAGAAAACACATGAGCATTTTAAGCCACTTTGAAAGAAAGGTATCTGCAGAGGACATACATGTCAATTTAAAAGGCTCTAGAACAGATTAGATGAAGTTTCCATGTTCTTGTCTGGAGAAATTTATGAAGTAGACCTTTTTACGGCCCTACAGTTGAGCAAATGGAGGTTGAGCTTTGTAAACGAAACTTTGTTTTGCGTTAGGAATAAAAGTAAATTAATGTGGGCTGAAAAAAATCTGTTCTTGCATTCGCTGGGAAGTGAACCCATATCTCTGGTTTACTACTTGAGGTACAGGAAAATTCATTTATTAATTTCCCTTCGGCTTAGTCTCTTATTTATCAGGGGTCACCAGAGCGGAATGAACCGCCAACTATTCCAGCATATGTTTTACACAGCGGATGCCGCAACCCAGTACTGGAAAACACCCATACATTCTTGCATTCACACACACTCATACACTATGGCCAATTTTGACAATTCTCCTATAGTGCATGTCTTTAGACAATGGGGGAAACCGGAGCACCCGGAGGAAACCCACACCAACACGGAGAGAACATGCATACTCCACACAGAAATGCCAATTGGTCCAGCAAGGGCTCGAACCAATGACCTTCTTGCCACTGAAAAGTCAAATGTTATATATTTTTTTCTATTTAAAGATGTTTATTTATTTATATTTATTATCATTTTGCTTTATTAGGTTCATCTTAGGTCAGAAAATAACATCGTAAACACAATATAAATAACATTCTTACATATAAATATACATTAAAATCATGCACTGATAGAATTCAGCAAACAAAAAAATATCAGGAAACTTAATTATACACTCATATAAAAAAAAATAGTTTTACTTTTTTTTTTTTTTATTTTTAATTTTTTTGCCCTTATTAGAATAGGAGAGTATATTGGACAGAGTGCAATATTAGAGAAAGAGAGTATTCATTCATTCATTTATTCATTCATTTTTTGTTGGCTTAGTCCCTTTATTAATCCGGGGCCGCCACAGCGGAATGAACCGCCAACTTATCCAGCAAGTTTTTACGCAGCGGATGCCCTTCCAGCCGCAACCCATCTCTGGGAAACATCTACACACATATTCACACACACACTCATACACTACGGACAATTTAGCCTACCCAATTCACCTGTACCACATGTCTTTGGACTGTGGGGGAAACCGGAGCACCCGGAGGAAACCCACGCGAAGGCAGGGAGAACATGCAAACTCCACACAGAAATGCCAACTGAGCCAAGGTTCAAACCAGCAACTCAGCAACCTTCTTTTGCTTAATTACAACTTAATTTTTTCTGTTCAATCAACTTAAATTTGTAGATAGATTTGTGTTGGGAAAACATGAATGAGTTGTGTGGAGCCCTGCATTTTAAAGACATGCACAAGCTGCACTGTAAAAGTGCCAAATTAGTTACTTAAAAATTGGTCGACCTGTTCGCTTTAAAGCAACAAGTTGACTTGACTTAAATAAGCGAGTAAACCCATTGTAACTTGGAACTGTTAAGTTGATTTACCTTAATTTTTATAATTATACACAGTTCATTTACTTAAAAATTTAAAGGCAACGAGTTGTTATTTTAAATAAAGTCAACTAATATTTTTAAAAGAAACATGTTTACTCACTTATTTTAAGTAAAGCCAACTAATCTTTTTTTACAGTGTGTAAAGACCAGCTATTTCTGCAAACTCTATTGCATTGTAGTACACATCTAATAAAGCCACAATTCTCTTACCGCGGTGAAGAACATTGTGAAGAAATAGACCATGGCCTCCATGTGGAAGCCCCTCTTTGCAGCCACGCTGGCTGCAGGCACAAACACCAAACTGCTAATAGTGGGCAGCAACATCTTGGCGATAAACGCTCCCATTGCGACTCAGAGAAATGGCCTCGGGATTTCTGGAGAACTTGGATGGACTTAAAAGCTTGTCTGGTTTGAATCAGAAAGCTTTGAGGAGCGATTGACTCTCGCACACACACTCTCTCACACACGCTGCTCTGGAGGATCTTTAAAGTTTAAATGTCTCTCCGTGGCCTGTGTGCACACTGTCATCAGAACGGCAGCTGTCCTGCAATCATGTGGCTTCTGTCACACATGTTCAGGATTGCAGAACAACAAAAGTCAAGAAGCCATTTATGGTGAACTTCTCGATCTATTGACCGCATTCAATGCTGAGTCAAAGTGTTTCCTGATTCCTGACGCACCATTGGGCTCACAGAGAGTTCTTTGACATGTATTTTTCTTAAACTGGTCAGTCTGGATGGTCCTGTGTTGTCTTAGACATTTCTCATGGATGAATTGATGCTCAGCAGTGGCTAGAAACAGCGGTCTCTTCAGGGTTACTGACAATATTGTCATTACAAATAACCCTCTTCATGGATTTAAATGATTCGTTCTGAGTGAGTTTACAATAAACAAATCTCCAATTCAAATAATCCATTCAGAGTAGGTCTCCAGTAATTGATTCACAGATTCAGATACACTGCTTAGAGTGAGTCTCTAGTAATAAACTCACTGATTTAAAAGATTCATTCAGAATGAGTCTCCAGTAATAAACTTGCTGATTAAAATGATTCATTCAAAGTGATTCTCTTGTAATCAACTCTTGACTCAAATGATTTGTTTAGAGTGAGTCACCAGTAATATTGATTCAAATGATTCATTCAGAGTGAGTCTCCAGTAATTAACTCACACTGATTGAAATGATTCGTTCAGAGTGAGTCTCCAGAAATAAACTCACTGATTTAATAATATGTTCTGAGGGAATATCCAGTTATAAACTCACTGATTCAAATGATTCGTTCAAGGGGAATATCCAGTAATAAACTCACTTATTCAAATGATTCATTCAGAGTGAGTCTCCAGTAATAAACTCACTGATTTAATATTACGTTCAGAGGGAATATCCAGTAATAAACTCACTGATTTAATATGTTCAGAGGGAATATCCAGTAATAAACTCACTGATTTAAATAATTCATTCAGAGTGAGTCTCCAGTAATAAACTAATTGATTCAAACGATTCATTCAGATTGAGGCTCCAATAATAAACTTACTGATTCAAATAATCTGTTGAAAGTGAATTTACAGTAATAAACTTATTTATTCAAATCACCCTTTGAGAGTGAGTCTCTAACAAAAAAACTCACTGATCCAAATGATTTTTTCTGAGTAGGTTTCCAGTAATAAATTCATTGATTCAAATGATTAGTTCAGAGTGAGTCTCCAGTAATCAACTTACTGATTCAAACGACTCGTTTCAAGCGAGTCTCCAGTAATAAGCTAATTGATTCAAATGATTAATTCTGAGTGAATTTTCAGTAATAAACGCACTGAGTCCAATGATTAGTTCAGAGTGAATATCCAGTAATAAACTTACTGATTCAAATGATTCGTTCAGAGTGAGTCTCCAGTGATAAACTTACTGATTCAAACGATTCGTTCAGAGTGAATATCCAGTAATACACTCACTGATTCAAATGATTCGTTCAGAGTGAGTCTCTTGTAATAAATCTCAGTGATTTAAATGATTCGTTCAAAGTGAATTTCCTGTAATAAACTCACCAATTCAACTGATCCGTTCAGAGTGAGTATTTAATAATAAACTCATTAATTCAAACGATCCATTCAGAGTGAGTTTAAACTCAATGATTGAAAGGATTTATTCCGAGTGAGTCTCCAGGAATAAACTCCCTGATTCAAATGATCCATTTAGAGTGAGTTTGTACTAAGAAAACGCTCAAACAAATTCAAATGTTTCCGATTCAATGATCCAATCGGGTAGGTTTAATTTCAAAACTAAACATAACATCGTAGTAACATCAATTACTGATTACATAGTGTTCTTCTTAGGGTCAACACATTTTTTAACACATTTTATTAACTGTATGGTGAATTTTGATAATGCCTGTTTGGTGAACTTCTCGATCTATTGAACTCCATACTCCAAGTCAATGCTGTGTCAAAGTGTTTTCCGATTCCTGACGCACCATTGGGCTCACAGAGAGTTCTTTGAAATGTATTTTTCTTAAACCGGTCAGTCTGGACGGCGGTGGGTTGAGTCTCAGACATTTCTCATGGGTGAATCGATCCTCAGCAGTGGCTATAGAAACAGCTGTCTCTTCAGGGTTATTGACATTGGCCTGGTGAAAGCACCTGTATGCGTCACTACAAATCTGTGTTTGACGTGAATGTGGTTCTGAGGGTAGAAACATACCAATGGTTAAGGTAAGGTGTAGGCTTAAGATGTTGTGTTAGAGACTCTTGCGTAGACCTGGACCAGATGTACTGATAGAACCGATTAAGCGAGGGAAGGAAAAACCCAAGAACAAATTCTCACTTGTATCGCTCGCATTTCATGTGGCTCTTAAATCTGTTATTGCATGACGCTGAAACACTTTAGCATTTAAAATGTCCATTTACATTCCTAAGTCTAATTTAGTACAAAGAATTTAAAGGGAGATTAGATGTATTGAATACATTAAAACCTTTAACAGGGTCAAAATATGGCTTTTATATTACAACCCCAACTCAGAAAACGTTGGGAGAGTATGGAAAACGCAAATAGGAAATACTTTGACTTGTATTTCATTGCAGATAATACAACAAACATTATTAATTAATTATTATTATTATTTATATATTTTTTTTCTAAATAAACATAAATTCCAACTTTGGTTTATGTTAGAGCATTTATCACTTTGTAATTAATTATCTGATAATTGTATAAAATAATCCCAAAAGGCAACAGACTGTGTAAAGCCACAAAAACAAAACAAAAAATATGATGTATATGCCGAGTTCAGCAGCTAATCAGCCGGAATCAGCTGAGCTGACAAGACGGCGAGCAGCGAGACCTAGCTGTCACTCAAGTGGCCACGCCCTTAACCACTTAAACTCTGCTGCTATTTGGGGATTTCCGCCTGGATTTTGCCTACCCAAATTTAAAAGCTTCCAAAATCTACATAAAAATTTGGTATCATTTTAAAGAAAACCCTTTGAATTTTCATAAAACACTATTGAAAGTGTTTAAAATAACTGCATATGTTGTCTGTGTTATAATAAACACCTAAAAAAAGAGGCGCTTTTTGTATTTTTTTTTTATAAACTCAAATTTGAAAGTGTACCTTTTAGGTTCTCTGTGGTTTAGTGTGCTGTAATTAATTTTGGTGGTTCCTGCACATGTCTGTAATCATAGGAAAAAAGAAAAAGGTCTCTACCATAATCTATGCAAAAGTTATTGCATTCCAACTGATGAGAGGTGCTGTACAAGCCACAGGGACCAATCCTTGTTTACATATTTCACTATTCTTTTGTTTGATCAAACATAATTCACTGTGTTTGGACCACGTCAGACATATAAAAGGATTACTTATGCACATCATCTCAAAAACAGAGGAGAAATGGCCTTTAAGCGCACAGCATAAGGTAAGAGATGACAGCTGTCTGTGCTATCTGGGGCTGCTTATTGATCATAAATGTATTGTTTACATTTCTGCACCATGGAAACACCACAATTCATTCAACAACTGTTTGGCATATGAATATAATTCAGTAAAAAGAATGCTAGAACTGTATGAGCACCGGCAAGAGCTTTCATTTGAGCTATAACTTGTACATGTGTCATATGAAAGTTTGAACCAATGAACCAATGTAAAATACCTAACTCAGGTATCCAAAATACTGTGTATTTAAGCTAGCCCTTTAAATCTGAAAGCGAAAGTCGTTGACGCCCGTTACCGGGTCCGCAGAGTTTAAGTGGTTTTAATTATGCAGACTTAATATAACTTAATATAAACAAAACGGAGGAGTTATAAACAAATTCACCCACTCACAGTTGTCATGCAGGGCAATATTAGCTGTATACACCAAAATTGTTGTTTGTAACAGGCTGTAAACACCGTTTTTCTGCTGTAAGGTCGGCCATTTTAACAGTGGTGTCAATAGAAATTTGCTCTATTATGGAGCCAGGATTAGCAGAATGAACTGCAGTTTTAGTTACTTCAGTATTAGCTTCACGAGGCAGAGCAGGATGTTGCCGCTTGATTTAATCATGTTATTATCTAAAATGTCAATTTACATCACTTAGACTAATTAGCACGGCAAAAAATGCTGTTCTTACTTAGAGTTTTTGTCTTGTTTCTAGCCCAAACATTCAGTCTTAAATCAAGAAGCATTCCCAGCTAGCAAAATTCATGTGGCTCAAATCGCATGGAATGATGGGACTTGGGCAGTCCGCTCCTGTTTGCCAGATCTGGGCCACAATTAAGCCATAGCAATATCAAATATCAGCCAGAATTCAACCAAATGAACCAGAACTGACCCTATTCTGGGCCACAGTTTGCTTTTTTTCTGGCCCAGATCTGGCCCACACCAGACACTTACTTCTGGACCACATACTGAATGGAATGAGGGCTCTAGGGTGGTCCGCTCCTGTTTGTCAGATCTGGGCCACAAATAAGCCAAAGCAATACCACATATGAGCCAGAATTCAACCAAATGAACCAGAACTGACCCTATTCTGGGCCACAGTTTGCTTTTTATTCTGGCCCAAATCTGGCCTATTACTTCTAATAATGGACCAAACATTGGTAAACATCAGTGAATTATATTATTTCATCACAGGTTGTGCCTCACTTAATTTTGCTTGCTGTAATGAACAAACTTTTCAAGCAAAGTTCTTAAAAGTTACAGCAGCCAAAAAGAAAATTGATATGAAGAGGTTCAGAGCTATGAGCCCAACTAAAGCAAACACTTTTCTCCATGATGGTGACTTTAGTCTATGTGGTCCACATATGTTTTAAAATAACTGGGCCACATTTGCCATATTTTCTCTGAGTCACATTAGGCTCACAGCCGTAATAGCGGCTTTTAGTTTACTGTGCCAAATATTTGCCAAAAGTGGCCCGCATATGTCTTAAGATAACTGGGCCACGTTTGCACCTATATGCGAGCCACTTTAAGTTTAGACCCAGATTACCCCTTAAA